TCGAATACAGCAGACCAAATTCTTTTTCAGGAATACCAAGGAGGAAGAGATCATCTGGAGGGTGTGGGGATAGCTTCACCGAAAAGGTTGCACTTTACAAAGTCAAGAATAAGTGAGAGGACATTCCAAGCAGCAAATGTAGCACGGGGGACAGAGACATCAGAGACCCCAGTACGGCCCAGGAGAGGGGATACTGGAGTGGCTGCACCAGAGGGCGTTAGCAGCAAACAGGTAACAGATTGGAGAGACATGCATGGCATTGAAATCTACTGCATAAATAATAGTGAGATACGGAGGGTGTTTCCAGCAGGGACGAGACATAAGATGTGTGTTTTATAAATATGACTGTAGTAGCAGGGGGAGAGGGCAAAGAGCAGGGAGACCAGAGGGACCACTGACTACTCATCCCTGGGAGAGCCATTGCAGGCTGACACCAAGGTGGCAGGGATGAAGAGGGGATGCTGGGGCTGAGATCCTCCCTTTCTAAGGGAAGCTCTACGTGGCTTAGTGACCAGCTAACAGGGACAGGGACACGTTGGTGATGATCCTACAGTGCCTGACTCGGGAGGCTGGGGAGGCGGTGAAACCACTGAATCAGGAAATGCATGAGAAGAAGACAGGATCTGGGAAGGTAGACAGGGAATTAAATTTTAAATACCTTGAGACTGAAGGATCTATAGGACCGCCAAGTGGAGACACCCAGAGCTACATCATGCTAGATCTCAGATGGGAAGTGGAATCTAGAATTGCAGAGATTTGTAGATTCATAAGTCACTACTGCTGGTGAGCACCCCCAGAGATCTTTTAGGAGGGTGCTCCTCCTAAAAGAAAAGAAAGAGAAGACTATGAAGAAAATGAAAAAAGAACAGTTAGAGAGATACAAGTGTCACCAGAAGAAAACTCCTGGGTTTCAAGAAGCGAGTGTTCGGGGCGCCTGGGTGGCTCAGTTGGTTAAGCGACTGCCTTCGGCTCAGGTCATGATCCTGGAGTCCCGGGATCGAGTCCCGCATCGGGCTCCCTGCTTGGCAGGGAGCCTGCTTCTCCCTCTCCCGCTCCCCCCTCTTGTCCTCTTTCTCTCTCTCACTCTCTCTCTCAAATAAATAAATAAAATCTTTAAAAAAAAAAAAAAAGGCAGAATGAAGAAGCCTGGGCTCATATCTTCACTTTCTAGGATCACTTTTACCGCATCTCTACAGATACAGAGGTATTTTTACTTATCCTGCTTGAAATGTGTTGTGCCTCTTGAATCTGAGCATTCAAATGCTTTATCACTTTTGGGAAGATCTCAATGACCATCTCCTTACATATGGCCACTCTCTTCTTAATATCACACTAAGATGATAAAGATTTGAATAGGGGCGCCTGGGTGGCTCAGTCGGCTAAGCGTCTGCCTTCTGCTCAGGTCATGATGCCAGGACCCACATCGGGCCCCTTGCTCAGCAGGAAGCCTGCTTCTCCCTCTGCCTGCCCCTCCCCCTACTTGTGAGCGTTCTTTCTCTCTCTGGCATACAAATAAATAAAATATTTTTAAAAAATTAAAAAATACAGACTTGAATAGCTTTCTGCCAGTCCCAATCGAGTCTTGTCACCAAATTTAAGTTGCAAAAAAACTTTCAGGCTGCAAGTCTCAGAGCTTCTTTTGTAATTTTGCATAGGATGCTCATGCATGGTCGGTGTCATCCCAGGGTATCTGTGGGGTCTGCTTCAGTAAGGAACTGTTTTTTCTTCTCCTTGGTGTCCTGGAGTGTGACCAGCCTGAGACACTCTAAGTATTCTTCATCTTGGGGTTTCCCAGACCACATTTGCAATGGAAATTCAAAGCATAAATCTGTGGAAGATGAGACCTGTAGTGACAGAAGCTAATATTTCCCACTTCCTCTCACCCAAGGATCGCTACTCTCCTTGCCGTCTCTCTTTGTAGACAGGCTAACTTCTTTTTTCTCTATCCTTTCAATGAAGATGCAGCCCTTTATGGATGCTGGTTTTGTGCAGAGATTTCAGATCCAACTCAGGACTCACCTTGGCCGGGTCCGTGTATTTGTGGCCATCACAGAGTGCCCATCAGTTAATACACCATCTCTTAGTCAAGAGGACGGACCAGAGCTCCCAGCACGGTCATGGCTTTGCCTTCATTTTAATATTCTGGTCTCTAGCTCCCTCTTTGTTTAGAGATCCTGGGGATTTCCTTATTTTCTTATATAACCAAAGCATTTAAATGGGCATACATTTATTTTTCTAAGCGTTTCTAGGCATGATGTTAAGGGAGGTTTTAGGGGGATATAAATACCTCCTGGGAATTTGGCTGGGAGGATTCTGAGGTATGAGATGTTCTATACCATCTCCCAGAGCTTCCTCCAGGACTGAACTTCAGTCTTTCACTGTGGGGCTGGCTTGAAAATGTACCTCCTGAGATGCCTGGGTGGTTCAGTGGGTTAAGTGGCTGCCTTTGGCTCAGGTCATGACCCCAGGGTTCTGGGATAAAGTCCTGAGTCACACTCCTTGCTCAGAGGGGAGTCTGATTCTCCCTCCGCTTATTTCTGCCTGCCACTCTCCCTGCTTATGCTGTCTCTGACAAATAAATAAAAAAAGTCTTAAAAAAAAAAAAATGTACCTCCTGTTGGCCCCTTTCCCTTTCCAGCCGTACCTCCCAATCTCCCCAGAGACTTCCTGCCCACCAAAGACCTAATGGCCCTTAATCTTATTTCAGGGTCTGTCAGCTTCCTTTAGGTATTGCCCACCTAAGACCACATGATTCTAGGAACCACATGTTTTTAAAGGGGGCTTCTAAAATATCATTCGTGCCTGTTCAGGGTACCCCATTTTTTCTTTCAGCAAACAGTATTATCCCGGGGAAAATGCATATACTCTAGTATTAACAAGGGAAAAACCTATGTAAAGTTGTACTGTGTAAAAATACATAGGAATGTCTCAAAGAAAATATTTGAAAAGTTTAACGGTTCCCTATAAGATGGGATTACAGGTGATCTTCCCCAACCTCTTCATACTGTCCAAAGTTTCTATGATAAACATGTATCACTTTGATAAACAGATAAAAATTCCAAAATTTAAAAAAAAAAACCTATAATAATGTTTTATCAAATTGGGAGAGAGAAATGGCAAGGAAACTGGAGGCTTCTTCCTCGACCTCATTTCAATGTGAGGAACGCTTCCTCTCCCCTGGGCCTGTTTTTTAAACCTCTTTTCCTGGCCTTGATCTGTCTTAGTTAGCATTTAAATTGGTCCCAGTAAAGCTCAGCTTATCAAGTTTTATCCCACAAATGCTTTCTTTTGTATCTCTAAATCCTAAGAATTGCCCAAGACCTTTAAAACAAAAACAAAAACAAAAACAAAACTCTAGAAACTTCAGTCGGTCAGCTCTGCTGGGATGCCCTCTGTACAATGAAAAGGACACAAGCCCAACAGTTGAACTTGACCATGCCCTGCCCTCTGTCTTATCTGATACGAGCTTGAGCAAGTTGCTTCTCCCTACTTCTCTCTGAATGTCAGTGTTATCCTCTAGGTCTCTTCCAGGTTTTATGTCTTTTGTCTCCGGTCACCAGGAAAAGAATTAAAAATTTGGGGGAAGAGACTTATTGGTCAGTTGAGTAAGGTGGCTGCTTTTGAACCAATAAACAATAGCCACACGGACAATGTCAGGTAAGAACCACAAAAACCTCTTGGTAGAAGAGGCAGGGTCAGTTCCCTGACGTATGTGGTATTAGGTATGGGTGTCCACAAGTCCTTCCCTGGTAGCGTTTTGGCAAGAATTTTTGAAATACCGTATGCAAAGTTCGTTAATTCTTCTAATTGGCATCTTTTTAGTGCCTACCGACAAGCACTGTTCCAGGCAATGGGGAATCGACAGAGAACAAAATAGACAAGTAGCCTTGTTTTAATGGGGCTTATAGTTCAGAAAAACACTTGACCCACAGTAGCCACTCCATGACTATTGGCCATTAAGATGGCCCATTAGTGTGTGGGTGTGAGGAGTGAAGGTAGTGGCTGGGATCCTGCTTTACACGCATGCCCCACACACAGGAGTACCAGCTCCGAAGAGAACTGAGTTCATACATCCCGTGAGACCAGACTCAACTGGATCTGGTCTCTGCTAGCTGACCTCCAGGAGGTTAGATAACCAGCCCCATGGGGTCATTGCTGCCCGGATGTCTCGGACTCCCCCAGGAAGAAGTGGGAAGCCCCCGAGGCAACCGTTGGCCAGAACTTGGTCCCTGGGACAGTCCCCCACTGCAGCCAATGCCATATGGCTGAACCGCATGGATGCCCCCAGTGCCAAGGGTGCTCCCCTGCCAGGTCCCCCCCACCAGCGCTCTGCTCCTGTGGCCTCCCCTTCGCTTGCCCTTCACACGTTCCCCAGGTGCTCCAGCCAATTTACAGTGCAAAGTGTCTGTGAGTGCTAGACTTGTGCGACATGTAGTAGACTAAGATACCTAAGAATTCGAGGTTCGGCACAGGAACAGCATTCGCCGTCGGAACACTGTTGGCCATGCATTGGTTTTCTCAACTCAGTAGGAACGGATCTTAAATGGAGAGGCCCTGACCCTGGTCTCTGCTTATTTAGGCTGTTGGTCTCGTGTGTTGTGTTTTCACTTGAATTCCTCCAAGCAGCTGCTCTTCTACCAGAGGTAGGCTGCACGTGTGGGAAAAATCCCAGGCTAGATTCATGGGAGGCGTAATCATGGCGGCCACTTCACTCTCTGCGAGTCAGATCCCGTGGGGGGCAGCTGAGGAGAAAGGACCAGATCCTGTGCTTCTCCGACACGCACCACACAGCCTTCAGGCTTCCTCAGTGACATCTTCTGGAGCTGTCACCCAAGGGACAGGCGGAGGGTCCTGAGTCTACATCCCGTCTCCCCCTCACCACAGCAGATCTGCTTATAACTGCTGTATGTTCTGTGCTTCCAGGGAAGATTTTAGTTTGGAAAAAAAAAAAAAGGTTGGAAAATATATATATTACAGACACACACACACTCACACATATATACACTAGATAAATGCTACAGTCTATTTCAGCAACGACACCCTAGGATTTCTTTTGTGACTATGGTCAACCTTCGTATCAGATGGGTAAGTCAGGCAGAAGATGGTTTGTACAAATTCAAAGTTTTAATGGCTGTTACTTAATAAAAGAAAGGATATTTGCACTGTGTACATTCTGTCCACTTCCGGTACTCTCAGCTGACCATGCCCATTTTATTGCACATATAAACAGTGTACAAGGATCTTGAAGACGTTACGTAGCCATACACAGACTGCATTTAAAAGGGATAAAAAAGCCATTGCACAAAATATTGACGTCATTTGTATTATACAGCCAACTTTAAGAAAAATACTGAAGATTAGTATCAAAAGAAATATTTTAATTTTGGGGGGGAAAATCTCTCAGAACAAGGATTACAGAGCTTCATGTTTGCCATATATACATGTAAAAAAAAAAAATATTTCAGGACCCTGCGTTCTGAATGCCCGTCAAGGTGCGGCAATCTGAATTCCTATTTCCATATCGACCTTGGCACGTTGTTGACCTTGAATACGCTCTTTGCCCAAAACGCCTTTCTCTTTTACATCATGACGCTATTTGACAGAACAGGTATTTGTGCAGTACGGGAACATATTAAAATAGATTTTACGTTAGGTTAAAGTGCACAGTACATTTGACAGGAAATAACTGCTAGCTGCCAATCCAAATGACCGTTTCCAGTAACCGCCCCCATCTCGCCCCCCGCAGTGGGCAGCCGTGGCATTGACCGACGGGCGTCGGAGTTCAGTGCCTCCCATCCTGGCGGCGCCCACCCGGGTATCTGCCCGCGGACACTTACAGGGGCTTCTCACCGAAGTGAGGCTGCAGTCGGCCTTCGCGAGACTGGAAGACGAACGAGCGGGCTGTCTGCGTGCCACTGGCCACGCGTGGAAGCGGGCTCTCTGCGTGCCAATGGCCACGCGTGGAAGCGGGCTCTCTGCGTGCCAATGGCCACGCGTGGAAGCGTGTCCCTGACGCCTTACGCGAGTCCCTCAAGCCAGCACAGGTCCCTTTCCTTTGCTGGCTCTTCTCTAGCCGTGTTTTGCCTGAACTTCCTCCTTCTTAGGCTACTCGGTCTCCCAACAGCCCTTCCCGAGCCCGCTCCTAAGCCTGCGTTGGCGTAACAGGGGGCTGCCCACCCCAGTGGGGGACTCATTCCCGAGGTTTCACACCAGAGGCCGTGACTCCTGCAGCGTTTTAGGGAAGCCGCCAACTAAATTACAATGAGACGAGCACGTCTGCCTCTCGGAATCATTTTCTCTTTTAAGACAGGCTGGCAGTGGTGAGAAGGGCTGGTCGCCTGATCCATGTCCCATGTGCCATGTGCCATTCTTGCTCACTCCGTCAAAGCTGTCCTTACAAAAGCTTTTTGGTCAAACAGTAGACTTTTTCTTATCTCTACTTACCTAGACCATTTCCTTATCATCTACCTTTGGTGCTAGACTTTCTTTCATTAGCCAAGTTACAGTGCAAAATTATACTTCAAGACACATGACGCTAACACGAGTTCTTTGTGTTAAAACGTGAATGTTCTGTGCATAGCAAAATAAGTCTGAATCCAAAAAAATAATTGTTCACATTTCATCTTCAAGTTTAATATGCCTTTTTTTTCTTCATCACAGCTATTTACAAATAACTTTGGGGTACTCTCTTGATTTCAGTCGGGTTGTTATGTGAGAGGACAACAGGGCTGCTGGAATGTAGGAAACTGGATGGAATGCAGAAATATAAATAAAACCATGTTCCATAAACCAAAGTGTAAATAATGCCTCCCCAGAAAACAGTTCTCATCACAGAAGCACCTGTTTTTGGCTTAAATTTTTTTTTTTTTTTTTGCTGAGTCACATACACCAGAATACATGATTACTGAGACCTAGAACTACTTACTGCACACCAAAGAGGATAGAAAATAATTCAATATTTATAATATTAAAATAAAGTGTTTAACCACAAAAAAGCAGTAATAAAATAGTTTCCTAATTTACAATTTGCATCCAAAGGATGAATAACAACTCACTAATAAATAATATTTATATAAATATTTTGTATGTCGAAAATAGTTTTTTAAAAGGCAATGGTCTCAAGAAAGGTCTTAAAAAATTTGGTGGTGAGAAACCTGATTGTGTCCCCCTCCCCCCACTGAATACACAAGAAGTTTGGTTTGAATAAAACAAATGCATCTTGTTGCAAAACGGTTGTGCTTGGTGTGTTGGTAATGGCAGTAGGTGAGCGTGGAAGGGATGAAGGAGGTCGTAAAAGGCATTGACGTGCTGCTCAGCTCTTCACTGGCAGTTCCCTCACTGGCTTTAAGGTAAATATCTTTCCTATCTTAACAATGGAAGTCAGTTCTGGAAGGTGGACAATCTTCCCTTCTGTCCTCCCTTCAATGCAACCAGAGCCAGAGAACTGACAGGCAGTGAGCGGGAGGGCAGGAGGAGCAGGTGCTGAGAGCAGAGTCCAGGACTTCGGATGAGAGGAGAGTCTGAACCGACCCCAAGGAGAGGAGCTGGTTTCATGTGAACAGAGTCTTTGTTACCGTTACATCTAGTAACGCTTGAACGGTAATGCCCACTTTGACCAGGCCTTTCTCTTCAAGGATGTGATGGGGTAGACACAGTTTTTCCTAAAAGGAAGAAGAACACAGCGTCAATTTTTAGATGACCGAAAACATAATCATAAAATCTTAGAGGACACCAGTGACAGGAGTTCAGCTGAGCTCTACATGTGCCTGTCTGATCACCTCAGACTGTGCTCCCTCCCTTGCTTTCCACCCACTGGCAAAGATCTTTTCTGTGTTTGCAGAGAAAATACCGACTTTTCACAAGTAAGGGCTGTTCCAGAAAGTCTCCCAAGCATCTTAGAATATGCAATAGATCTAAACATTAAAAAAAAAAAAAAATCTTTATTCTAAATAACTGAGCTACATAGTCAGGGGGGAACCAAACACCAAGAATATATTAGATTACATTCTTATAAAGTAAAATGCACATAGCCTCTCACACATTTCAAAGAAACTAGGACACTCATTTATACAGACCATGTACCATTCTACTGACCATAAACCTTGATTTTATTTGCTGTGATCTCTGAAATGGAGGTATTGCTGGTGGGCTTGGTATCCTTTCTTCATGGTTTACGAACAGCCTTGTAAATAAGTAATTTTAACCACAGCCTTCAACAGTCTCCCTTTTAGGACTCTGTCATAAAACGGTCAAAGACACAAATGTCCTGTTACTTTCTCAGGTTGAATTTTTGCTCTTGGGAAATGGCCGGTACATACAAGTCAAGGAAAACAACGTAAATCACTCCTTATGTGGTGAACCTTGCATGCTCAACCAAACAGTTTACAAAAGAACACAATAAAATAATTTCACACTTTGTCATTTGGCTCTGGGAATGAGGGGAATCTCCTTGCAGAACATGTCTCCTTGGCTAGGGAAAGACTCCGCAGCAAACACTCCCTCTTGGCTACCGGGTCCCGGTATGTTCTCCACAAACCCAATGACGGCTGTTTTTAAGGACAGTTTAAAGGGGATGTGGCCACACCCCAGGCATTGGACGAAGTGTTTACCATGAGGCCAATCAGGGTCTTGGACACTTCTGCTTCATCTCATGGGACTCTTGCTTGAGGAACCAGACCTTCCTGCTGCCTCAAGTGCAGAGCTCTCCAGAAATTACCACAGACACAGGCGTTCTGCTCTTAGAAAGATCTTCGAAGGACACGCAATGACATCTCCAGTAAGTTGTTCCACCATCTGAAAATGTCATTTTCCTACACGCTCTCGATCACCTTATTACCCCTATCCCTCCTCCTTCCCTAACTTGTGGTAAATGCAAAGTATCTCACACTCTGTGTCTGGCACCAGGTCTTAAGAAATGGCCCCACATCAACATAGGACAACGGATTCTTTAGAACACAATTTTAACCATTATTTCCTGTGTCTGCTCTGTACCATAATAAGATGATCTTGCCAATGGCATAGTCGGTGGGCATTCAGGTTTATGCTGCTTGCCAACTTAGTAGCCACATGTCAACCTGAGAAAGAATGGGGGGCTCTGTGCCAGGTGGGCACAAAGCCAGGATGGGCCACAGTCAGACGTCAGGGTAGATCCTTTCCTGAAGCCACTGTCACGGGCTTGTGAAAGCACCTCAATCTGGCATTTCATTGCTAAGGCTGGTTCCACAGGGGCAGGGGTATGTTTACCCCATTCTTATGATCTCCACAGCACCCAGGTTGACATCAGGCTTCACAGGAAATTACAAATGGTCACTATTATGGTTAAGCTCCTGGTACGAGACATTACTTGGGGAAAAAAAAGGTCTTGTATTTATACCATATGCTAAAATCAATTTGAAATGAATTAAAGAGTTAAATGAATATCTCTCCTAATAAAACAGAGATGAATAGTTAGCATTTTCTCTTATAAATAAATGGAGAATTTTCTAAGTTAAAAAATGATACAAAAATCACAAAAGATAAAAACAATTGATTGCCTTAAAGCTTCCACGTGTCAAAAAAACCCCAAACTGGGGCACCTGGGTAGCTCAGTCGGTTAAGCGTCTGCCTTGGGCTCAGGTCATGATCCCAGGGTCCTAGGATCTAGCCCCGCATCAGGCTCCCTGCTCAGCAGGGAGCCTGCTTCTCCCTCTGCCTGCCACTCCCCCTGCTTGTGCTCTCTCTCTCTGTCAAATAAATAAATAACATCTTTAAAAAACCCAAATTAATTAAAAGATAAACAACAAACTCTAACAAAAGTATTTGCATCAAATTACAAAGGGTTTTATATGACACGCTGGTTTAATAAATCATTGAGAAAAGCAGTAAGGGATCAAAAGAACACTGGGTAAGGAACACAAATAGAAATCTTAAAAGGATGCACACAAGCAAGGCATTTTGAAAGACACTTTGCTTCTTGCCCGCCGTGTTTACTTATATTTCGTCCTAAATGTTCCTGAATTCAAGTACGAATATTTCCACAGGGTCTAAACTCTGTGTACAGCATGGCTTTTATGGGGCTACGTGCCCTAAACTAAGTCTTGCTTGAGATGCAACATGGCCCCATTAATGGCTGCACCAGTCCCTGTGAGGAGTGCTGGCTCCAGGGCTCCAAGCTGGAGGCCATGGTTGGGAGGGGGGCTCGAGAGAGACAGGGAGGGGAAAGTACTGAGGTCTCAACCTCCCACCGATGGGACTTCTGGAGACGACACAGACTCACAGACTGAGCTAGCTTACGGTCATCCTCTCTCCCAGCGCTTTAGTTTTCCAACTGGCATTTCTCACCTTCCTGGTCTCCTCACTCCTAAACCAGGTGCAGAGTCCGAGAGTCTCGCTTCCACCCTCACAGCTCACAGTGAGAAGTACACAGAAGACATAGAAAGCTACTTCTCACTTCCTTCCTGTCTTTCTCCTTTCATTCAGATGCCCTGAAGAAACCCAGAAAGAAGTGCCCTCAGATTACTCGGATGGGGTCGGAGGTGCCTACAAAGACTGGTCTAAGGTAACAGAAACATAAAAACACAGCAGTTCTGGTTATTTTATCACAGGCCTGGGATGAAACCTGATAGGAATGATGAGCTGAGGCACTGGTCGACAGGCCGAACGAGGGGAGCCTGCCGGAAATGAAGAGGGTAGCAAGGATGGCCGGAAGGCCATCTCCCACCGCAGTAGTCCTGCCACTGCAGAGGCCAGGGGGCATTGGGGAGGGTCCTGGAAGTGACCCAGAAGTTGGGATAGGGAAGGAACTGCGGTACATTCACAACTGGATCAGAAGTGACAGAGAAGGGCCACTACCTAAACCTGGATAAAAGGGATTTAAAGCAGAGATACTGTACATTCACACTGACTTTAAATGCATTTAAATTTACTTCCTTGTTAGAGGAGCCTAGCGGCTTTCCTTGAGAATGTGGCACCACTGTTGTGTTTCCTTTTAAAGCACAGGGCAGAGTCATAAAGGAGTATCTTACATAAATGTCATGCTTCCGAACCCCTCTGAAGAACTCGAGCTTTGTGTTGCTTCTCCGATGGTGGAATCAGTAAGGTTCCCTCACATGCCGTTAATTCCCCACCCCCCCATGTTTACATCTTGAGGCAGAAGAGTCTATCTGACTGGCTACATGATGGGCTATGTGAGGGAAAAAAATCTGGGCTATTAGAGTGAAAAAGCGAGTTTCATGTAAATTTTGAAAGGAAAATGTGTCAAGAGCATGGTTTTTAAACTTATTTGGTTTCATTTAAAAAAAAAATGTTCTTTAAACCCAGTTATTTCACTTGATTTGCTAGCTTCAGGGAAGAGATCCGACTTCGTGACCAGCGCTGAAGGCTCCGTGTTAGTGTGGCTTGTGAGGGCCGCTGTGCCATATCTTGCTGGAGATGAACGCTAGCACTGGAGCCCATCCTTCCTTGTCAGTCGTGACCCAAAGATGTCACCGTTCCTAGTTATTTGTCACCACGTAATTGGTGTTGATTGGAAACTTTCCCTGAAATGGGGCAGAACTGCTTGGTTGCTTCCATGTAACTTAAGCATAATAATATAAATAAATAGTTGGGGGAAAAAGAAAAAGAGTTGGGTCACCCAACTCTTTTTCCACAGCAAACAGGGCTGGAAAAGGCAGGCAAGCCATAAACAGTAAACGCTAACTCAGAAAGATGCCCGGGGCCCCTCCGACATGCTCGGTGCCAACGCTACAGATCTGCATTGCTTACTTCTCTAGGACAACTGTGTCAGGCGGATAGAATACCTCTATTTTACAGATGACAAAACTGAGATGTAGAGAGCTTTAGCAACTTTGTTAAAGTCCCACAGCTGGTAACTACTGGAACCAGGATTTGACCATGCATCTCCTCTCCTGGCCGGGGCTCTTTCCACAACATCGTGCTGTTGCCCATAAATTTTACCTTCATCCGTAGGGGGGAAGCCCCACCAAGTTCAAGATCAGGTGGGGGGATCACAGAACCCTCAATTTGGGAACAGGCGTTAGCTCGGCGACTTGGCTTGTTGGGCTTCTCTTCAGGGAGAGCAACAGACCTCTCATCCCAGAGGAAGACGCCTCGCGGGAGCATCGCTGCCTGGCTCTCCTCCTTCTATAGTTCCTTGTGCTCCCAAACAGCCACGCACCTCCTTCCAGGCGCAGCTGCTAGACTAAGAAGAAGTCATCTATGTCCGCATAGTTCATCTCGTCCAGCCTGTTTCTCAAATGCACGTTGCTGGCGCTGAAGTGACTGAACTTAAAGCAGAACTGTCTGCATGATTTTCACGTGAGAGAGCTTCAAGTTCTGCCACCTGAGCGTTCCGAGGGGCGGTCACCTCCCGTATAAAGCAGAGCCCACGTCACACTCCTACAGACCGAGACGGTGTCCTGTCGCTCTCCTTGGGAGTCTCTGCCTTCCAGCCCTGCCACCGTCAAGTGCTTCCTCCCTCGGGAATACGTCATTCTCCACACGTAGCTGCCCCCTTTCTCACGTCCCTAACCTGCACCCTCCTCCCCTGGCTATTCCTACACACCCTTCAGGGCTCCGTGTAAACATCACAGTTCCAAAAAGGCTTCGCAGATTCCCCGTTCCCCATCAGGGTCCGGTCCCCTGCCGCGTGCTTTGCAGAATCTTGTGTCACCCTGAATTGCATCCTATTTGTCCGCTAGGTCAGGGGTCCAAAACCCACTGCCTGCGGGCCTAGTCAGTCCACAGCCTGCTTTTGTAAATAAAGTTTTACTGGGACACAGCCATGTCCATTCACTGACGAGTCATCGACGGCTGCTTTCAGGCTGCACCAGCGGAACGGAGTAGTTGTAACACAGACTGCATAGACCACAAAGCCTACGATATTTATAATCTGGTACTCGACAGAAAAATGTTGCTGACTCCTGGTCCAGACTGCAAGATTTCTGAAGACAGGGTCATGTATCCCCAAGGTCTACCACAAAGGCTTACGCAAAGACTGTTCATTCCATATTTGAGGAATGAATAAATGAACACAAGCACAAAGAAAATCACACTGAAAAGCCAAGGAATGGACTCTGATAGTCTCAAAGAAGAAAAAAGTGCACATTCTACATATAACTGATTGTTTATGGAGAACTAATTTCAAAATCTGAAGCCTAACTTTAAGCCCAAATCTCCTGAAATAAAATGGTATTAAAATATGTTTCATTTACTCCAAAACCACTTCAGGCTCCTGAAATTTTAATCCATTGTCCAGTACTTTACCTGGTAAGGGGCAACAGCCTTTGTCCTTAGGACGTCTTGTCCTTATAAAACAGCATGGATTTTAGAGAGAGAACCCTAGCCACCAGGCACTGAATTTAATTTCTTACTCACAAAAAAATGTTATCAGGGTATCGAGTGACTTTTTTTTTTAAACCTATTCTCATTGAGGAAATTCCTACTCAGTTGTCTTACTTTTGAGTTCTGCAGGGCCCCTCTCCACCAGCCCGATTCCGTAAGTGTCTTGCCCCGAACAGTGAGCCACATGTGACTCACAAATCCGTAAATAGAGGGAATGTGTAGACACATTAGCTGTGACATACTGTGGAAATCCTGAGACTGAGTGGTGAGCTGCCACCAACTGGAGGACCTGGAGAAAGAGAACCCTCTCTTTCACATAAATCTATCTCAAAGAGAGAACATAAATAAACAATTGGTTCCTTTTATCAGGCACTGCAAGTACTGGGAAAATGGTCTTTCTTGTGTGAGGAAGGAGATTTAACATGCACATATAAATCACACAACTAAGTCCCTGCCCACCTCTCAGACGACAAGCACGTCACGCTGTAATGGCAGGCCTCACGTGGGCATATGAGTTGGTGTGTGGGTACCTCGGGGAAGAACCATGGAGAGGCTTAATATTCTGAATAGAAATGAACAGCCTGACAATGGGCAAGACCATTCATTCCAAGTTTTGCCTAAAGGGCTAAATTAATTGTGTTCTGCTAGTTACCATGCCACTTGATTAAAAAAAAAAAAAAAAAAAAAAACCATCCCACAGATCCCAAGAGGAGCGGCATGTTAGGTTACAGATACATTAATGACATGAGAAATGAAAATGCATCCAAAGAATCCTTTGAGGCCAGAAGTGAAATACGAACACAGCCTGAGAATGATGTCAAGTCAGCACTGAAAATTAAATCTGATCTCCCATGATTGCTCTACTCAGTTTTTATTGATAGAATTTTCTTTCAAGTGCCACCCTGTAAGTCATCTCTCTTCTTCCCTTTTGCCCCCCACTCCTCCCAAAGAAGAAAAAAAAGAAACCCAAACAGTGATCATTAAGGGAAGCCTTAGTGCACTGCAGAGCCGGATGGAGATGCAGAGAGCTGCTCTGGGTGGGCACAAATCAGTGCATCGATGGGCTGATGAAAACCTGGAATAATCACCCGAAATGTGTTTATTAAACAACTTATGGCTCAGGGTGCTCATTCGACTTTGCACAAAGGGCTTTTATTGTGTCACAGATTGAAGGGGACAAGATAGCCCCACAAGCAATTCAGTACATCTGTGGGTTATTTACACACAACCGAGGTTAATTAGAGAACTTCCACATACCCTGTATTTCACCAATCAACACAAAATCAGGAGGGAAAAGCTCAGCTAACTCAAGGTATTTTCATGTAAAGAATGTTTCCTGTTAGAAAATCTAATGCAGCAACAAAGAATATTTATAAATATAGTCTTCTAACCATGTGGGTTTTGCATATTCTCAAGTCCCCTGGATTCATGGAAGCATTCAGAAAAATAAGATTATCTTCTTAGTAGCCATCAATGTAGACTCTTCACAACTCAGTAAATTAGAAATTATCTTGAGGAAGTTAACATCATCATCTCCCAAATTTAAGAAATAGTATTTGGCAACTAGATGTAAAGCGAAGCCTAGGGGAAGCTGTCTGAACCGTGGAGGAGGGCATTCTCATAGTATAAAAAGACATCCCAGAACCAGAAATATCTTGGCCTAGACAGGATTCTAATGTTTGTTTTTTTTTTTCTTTTAGTTACAAACTGATCACATTGCTCAAAAAGCGGATATAGTTAACATACAATCTTGTAAGCTTGCTTAAGGATAGAAGCAGCTTGCTAATGTCACTGGAAATCAAAGGTTAAATGGAAATTTCAGGCCATTAGGGAAACTACATTCTTCTAAAACAAGAGCAATCTTATTGTTGGCTTCTGCCATAGTAACCCAAGTATTAGGACCAAGAATGTTCCATGACTCATGGCTTTATTTGAAAGCAAATACAGTCAAATCCATCACATTCTTGACCTGCAGTTATGATGTAATGTAGCAAAAAAGGAAAAGGACCCATTCCATTATTTAAAAATAGAAATCCCTTCTGGAAAATGCTTTTCTAGGCGCTCAGAACAGACCTAACAAGGAGCAAAAGGTAAAAATATGCACAAAGCGATGCGCAAGCGAATCCTCCAGGTGGCGCTCTACCAGCAATGCCGCTCCTTCCCCAGCTGCCCCGCTAGGTCTCACGCGGCGGGGCAGAGGGGCTCCCTCGGGGTAGGCGTGGGCGGCAACCCTCCCTGGTGCCCCTCACCGCTCCCGTGGCAGCAAACAGGGAGGAATCCAACTGCATGGCCAGCAAAGCAGTCATTTGCCCATGGTAGTTTTCAAGTTGGTCAATAATGGTATTATTAAAGACTTTTATAGGCCAAATTGGGAGCCAAATGCCAGTTTTCTGTCCCCTCTGCAAGGTGGCCCTTCTACACCTCAATTACCGAGTCCTGAATTAGGATCCGACACCGACCCAAAGGAAAGACTTCCATATCCTACATCCCCTCTGCTCCTGTTCTGGAATCTTCTTCCGCTCTACCAAGGGCAACGAAGCTCCCTGGGGGAGGGAGCAGAACTGCATAGCACTGCTGTTAGCGCTATGTGAATGAGAAAGCGTGAGGTTGGGACACACTTGTTGCTGTTTTTTCACTAAGGGAGAGAAATTATTTGTGCTTTGGGAAAAATCTGACTCGTAATGTCTGGCTTCAAAACTCCAGAGATTACTAAAGAGATGACGGGGATGGAAGTTGGCCAGGCAAAGGCTCAAATGGAGGAAGGACCCTGCGACAGATCAGGGTGACGTAGCAGAGTGTTTGGACGCACATGCAGACGTTATGCAGACAGAGCATTCCAGTGGTAAGTGACATAGATTAGCACTATAAAGAGAATATGGACAAGACAGAAGCTGATAAGGTCCCTGGAGCGGAGGGCAGAAGTTGGTTGTGGGGGTTTCTCCCCAAGTGCCAGGAGAGTGTCAACAGTCTTTCGAACGTGGTGAAAGTCCGACTGCAGGATGTCATACGAAGAGCAGAGGTCGGCCTATTCCGTGGGCAGCCGTTAGAACAGAAAGAGACAGTGCATACAATTAAAAATACACGCATTTCTGGTTACTAGCAAATGGCAAGAGTAACCCCTTATTTCAAGCAGGTAAAAACCCACTCCACCATCAAAGATTTTTTTTTTAATCCATTACAAAAGAGAAGTAGCATACCCAACGTGTTTTCTGCAAACAGTGCAAAGAAATCCTCCACCCACAATGCCACTACTAAGGAACAGCATGTTCTGCAATTACCAGGCCATTCCGGCATCGAAACAGTTTTAATGTTTAAGTGGAGTCATGTGCTCACCAGTGGCATAAAAATAAGAGCTTTTGGCTAGGGACATTCAGGACCTAACCTGACCTAAGGGAAGAATATTATAAACTTCCAAGGTGAATCCCCACCTGTCCTCACTGTTCTCAATGTATCCTTCAGCCTGGTTTATGAAGACTGAATGAGTATCAAGCATTCCTCTCGGAAAGGTAATACGTACACCTAGTTTTTTTGTTTGTTTGTTTTAGGGTTACTGGTAAACTCTGGGGAATGCTGCTTTTAAGTGTGTTCCTACATGTGTCAGAAAGTACATTAAATTTCGGGGTTTTGCAGCCACACGTAAACCAAAGTCTAGAGGAGGCTTCTCAGATGTGCAGTTAGCATAAAAGTACAGGGCCGCATGGGGCTGTTATGTAAATTTCTTCACCACTGAACAGGTAACGGCGGGGCACAGCTCTTCTGAGTGCCTCTGAATATCTGCTGCTGTCAGGAAGCAAACCGTTTCCTGATTCGCTGCGTTCCTGAACTGGAAATGACCACAGCTTAACATTAACAGTGGTTATAATTGACGTGTCAATGGGAAAGAGAAGTAGTTTTGTGTCCAGATTAAACAAGGATTGAAAATATTTGTATTTCATAAATGCAGCTTTATTTCAAAATTGGCAAAGTATTTAAAATATATGTAACATATATTTTATAACATACTTTGCTACAGTTGTTACCCTTTGTTTTAGCCTCATTGCTAAGCAGATGCAAATTGCAGAGCCACTCAAAGATTCTAAGATAGATATGCTGTCTTGCTTATATCCTCTGAAGTTAGCTTGATGCCCTCAGATAAATAGGAATACTACAACAGCAAGTGGGATGAATAAGATTAAAAACAGACAGCTCTTATTTTAATTTATGAAGGTAGAGAAGCTGCTGTTAAGGAAAGGCTTTTTAAAGATATCAAGTCATGGGCGCCTGGGTGGCTCAGTCGTTAAGCGTCTGCCTTCAGCTCAGGTCATGATCCTGGGGTCCTGGGATCGAGTCCCACATTGGGCTCCCTGCTCGGCAGGAAGCCTGCCTCTCCCTCTCCCACTCCCCCTGCTTGTGTTCCTGCTCTAGCTATCTCTCTCTCTGTCAAATAAATAAATAAAATCCTTAAAAAAAAAAAAAAAGATATCAAGTCATGTTATATCTATTCAGATCACGAATCTTTTCTCTGTGGATTTGGGGGAATCAAACTACCACTGTTATTTTCCTAAGAATTAAAACAGCTACACAGAGATTTGGTTTCACTGGGAGAGAGACGCTGGTCAAGGACTAAGCGGATGGGGAAACATCTAAGGAAAGAAGTTTTTATTGCAATAAGTATTTTCTATTGCAATGTTGTGCTTTAACCAGTGAAATCTGAGCAAAGCAGACATAAGACAGAAGGCATCCACAAACTGAAATGTGATTTTCACAAAAGTGGGTATTTCCATGTTAAAAGCAAATCATTCTACCTCCAGTGTGTATTTTAATACACTTCCCGGGACCCTATGGAAAATGTCTGGTCTGCTCCCCAGCAACGTGGTCAAAGAACTTGAATCGGATTGTCCTTGTGGTGTTCTTGGAGTAGCATACTTCTCACATGGGTAGCCAACACAGACCTTTCTTCTCCTCCTGGAATTAATTTCATGATGCCACACATTCTGGGCTTGATTCAGATTGAAGTGGGTAGGGCCTAGACTCACAGCCCATGGTGGCTGGTTTAAACTAAATCATGATCTCTAAAGGAAAAGGCATGGGTCTAAGATCATCTGGTAGGCAAAAACTGGAATCACCATAACGTGGGGAGTGTGGGCTGCTGGGGCCCTCTCAGACCGGCGCTCTGATTCTGTCCCACATCCCATTTGAGCAGCCCCTGCGGGGATGCTGGGATAAGAACGAGGGTTAACACCGCTGGGAGAGAGGAATTTTCTGACCCTCGTGCCTACCAAATTAAAGTTGTAATGAGAGGGACTTAGGGATTATACATTTCTTATCTTAAAATTAGAATAGGAAAATGCTAAAAAGGAAGAAAATTTAAAGAGGCAAAATTTCACTCTGTATTACAGAGCCTTAGTAATGACTGCAAGGCATTTGAAAAACACAGTTAATACACTCAGAGTCCTCAGAGGCAAGTGTGGATGCTAATTCTCACTATAGAGAACAGAAATCACAATTGCCAGAGGTTAACTGATTCTCTTAGAGTCAACACAAGAATGTGTGACTAAGCTTACTATTAAAGATTGGCCCAGCTTCCCTGAATACTATGGACACAAACAGAAATGTAGACAGATCAGGCAAAAGGTCTGGTTTATAAATGTTCTGAGTGTCACACAGTCTAAATTCTAGGAGATTTAGAATGTATTCAGTTTATTTAAATATAATTTTAATTTTTAAGGTCAACATACTTACAAAGTTTTTTTTTTTTAAGCTAAGATAACAAAGCTCAGGAATGTTGATAGTCATTCTGAACATTTAAAGTGCTGATGGACAAGGTATAATTTGGTGGGGGTGGAGTGAGGTAACGAAGGGTTTCCAGAATTTTCTCCAAATATATGAGAACTAATCATCAATTTTAAGGACTTACAGACTAACTGTTCTATCAGTAAGCTACTTTATCTACAATTGTAATTAAAGATGCTGCTTTTAAAATGTTTATTCTTGGGACGCCTGGGTGGCTCAGTCGGTTAAGCATCTGCCTTCGGCTCAGGTCATGATCCCAGGTCCCGGGATCGAGTCCCGCATCGGGCTCCCTGCTCGGTGGGGATCCTGCTTCTCCCTCGGCCTGTCGCTACCCCTGCTTGTGCACTCTCTCTCTCTGACAAATAAATAAATAAAATCTTTTAAAAAGAGTAAAAAATAAAAGGTTTATTCTCAACAATACACATATGAAAGGCTGTCAGACTGCTGACCACAGACGACCCTGCCAGCAGGAGACATATGGCGGGAAAGGAGTCTTACATTCTCAATGGTAAACTCATACTACCTGTTAAGAAATGTACCTCATTTTACATACTAGAGACTGACCCTTTTTAATAAATTATGAATTTAAAAACTTCTGTTAATAAAGTAGTAAATGTGTCAGTCTGCACCTCTGGTCATTCGACCTCAAGACTAACCAATATAAGTAGAAAATAAAATTTTGTAATAATCATCTCATCCCGTCCCCCAAAATTACTTATTAGTTATGATTTAAACTGACACTAAAGTTACTGATAAGGGGGAAAAAGAGAGGCATAAAGCTCAAAGAGAAAGAACTCATTTCTCCTGTTCTCAAGATTAAAGCAACAACAAAAAAGAGCAGCTTCAATTTATAGAATGTATGTCGATTAAAAAAAAAATCAGATTAGTTACAAATTTCCTAAACCCTCACTTAAAGCAGGGAAATTACTGCTGTTACTTTCAGATACTGTACCTCATTACAAAAAAAACAACCAAACAAACAAAACCAACAAAAGGCAAATATGAAAGGTATTGAAAGAAGACTCAGCCATAATGTCAACATGACCCACTTATATCAACATGATCATTGTTAGAATCCGAATGTTCTCTAGGATTTTATGTTTAACTCCATTTGGCTGATGCAGAAGCTGAGGGATCCCCTATAGTCCCGCAAGCCCCTGGTCTCTGTGCTGTCCAGGCAGGCGAGCGGGGGCCCAACATGTCCACCACTCAGGGGAGCTGCTGCCCTGGATCCTCTTCTCTATTTTCCCTCTGCAGACAGTAATGACTATGGAGGGCTGGGCATTTCGTCTAAGTTCCCTCCTCCTCTAAAGAGAGCAATTCTCTTAAATTAAGGACCTTGCTCCTTACAGAGGTCTGAGGCCACGGCTACTTATATAAAACAGAGTAGAAAAATTTCCCTGGTGAACCAAAAAAATACCTATTTTCTAATACTTTTAATGCTTCATAAATCAGAAGTTTCTTTTGACCTGCAACAACACTAATAAGAGCCCCAAACTGCCCTAAATTTGAATCAATTTGGAAACCCCCAATAGCCAACCATGAATCTTCAACAACAAGTTTACAGGCCGAGAAAAGAAGCCTCAGTATGTCCATTAATAGCCTCATGAGTCCAAGGCTTAACCGAAGTCAGATTCTCGGGTGACACAAAGAATGTATCCTCAAGAATCTGAAAGGCCACCAAGGGTAGGCCTGTCTTCAAGATCAAGTTGATGTTGGGGTGCCTGAGTGGCTCAGTCGTTAAGCGTCTGCCTTCAGCTCAGGTCATGATCCCAGGGTCCTGAGATCGAGCCCCGCATCGGGCTCCCTGCTCAGTGGGAAGCCTGCTTCTCCCTCTCCCACTCCCCCTGCTTGTGTTCTCTCTCGCTGTGTCTCTATCAAATACATAAAATCTTTAAAAAAAAAAAAGATTAAAAAAAATTAAAAAAAAAAAAAGATCAAGGTGATGCTTGCACCAGAAGTCAAAGACAGCTTGCACAGTCTGACGACTGGCATCATTACCACAAGGAGCTCTGGAGGTGGTGCGGGCACCATCACCCAATCCCTAGATTTTCCAAGGCACCATGACGCACCTGCAGTTATTCCTTCGACTGCTAAGCACCCCCCCCCCCCCCCCCCAAGCAGGGGAAGCAATTATGGAGCTGCAGGATACAGATGAGCTTAAACGGACTCGTACAGCTCAGAGAAATCATAGGGGTCCGATGATTTCCAAACTATGTTTAGCAGTAGGATACCTTTTCCCCCAAAGAAAATGTTAGCTGGAAATCCAATATATGCTATGGACAAAGGAGAAACTGCTCTGGCGGATTCAAGGGGGCAAGAATGATCTGTAGTCTCCCCCCTTGGCTTTCCCTTACCTCCCATGCTGGCCACTGGAAAGACTCCAGGGTTCTGAAGAAGACGATTTGAATTTACTGCTCAAGTCCAACACCTGCAATCTGCAGATCGGGGAGCTCGGTCACAGAGAGCCAGGTTCAAACTCCAGTTCTGCAGCTACCAGCTGTGAACGTGAGCTTAGGAAATTGTTTAACCTCTCTGGACTTTAATTTCCTCAGGGCATGGCAATAAAATATTTACCTCCAACCCTCCATGGTAAGCATTTAAGATGATGCATAGATAAGAAGTCCTCAATAAAAGGTTAACTGCTGCTACTTTTAAGGAGTTAGCCTCAGGGCGCAGAACTAGTTAACAGCACAAGTAGGGATAATTGACCCCAAACCTCGTGCATTCCCTCCCTCTGCTCACAGATCCCCTTCACCCACTCACTCTTCTCCTTCCAGGTTATGTTCACTCCGGTTATGTCCCTTTAGTGGAGGAACTGGTCCCCAAACCAAAACCCCAACACACCTGAAATGGGGAGCAGGAAGGAAAATTACCTGCGCTGAAATAACTATTGGAAGGGATGTCATCCCCTCCACTGAGAAAGAAACTTGCCGGCGAGTGCTACTTCTGGTTCATTTTTAAGGACCTTTCCTTGGCATTCTCATTAGCAAGCCTCTACCTCATCCCAAGTCCCTCTCAGTTAATAGCAAGGAATTCTCCTGTCATCCTAACAGAATTTCTCCAGGTCCCCATCACTAACGTCTTTCTGTGATGTCATCTTCTTTCCATCAGTAGCAGCTGCTGTTCCAAATCCTGTCTGTTCCCCCGACTGAGGAGCCAAGGGGATAGACCCAGCCTCACCCAAACGTCACAAATAACGCACAGAGGTCTGGAGTGGCCTTAACCTGTCTACATATGCTAACCTGCAGCAAATACGCAGACCACAGCCAGGTCGAAGAAGGCACATTTACAGCTAAGCCACACCAGAACCTGTCTACCCAAGCGCAGAGTAAAGTGCTTCATGAACCTTGACCAACCCCGAGGCACAGAACTGGGATTGTGTCCACGGGGACTTCTAAAGAAAATATAATAAGCTGTAACAATTTGAACAATTTTAAAATTACTTCCATCCCTTCAGATTCTTTTATATGTAAAAACTCAACTAAATCTGCTCAGCAACCACATTCCACGCATAGGAACCTGACAAAATTATATAAGCTGCGGAGGCTGACTTGGCCTTGGCGTTTCGAACAGTGATTCCATTACGAAGGACATCAAAGGCAGGGCTTAGAGCACGGCTGTGACTTTTCAGTCTCTACGGGAAGTCATCACTGTCAATTAGTACTGAGCTTATAAAATACAGAATTCAAGATCTCTGTGACTTATGAGTGTATGTGAGTAGATAAGCAATGGATGGAGAAGAAAGCAGGAAAAAGCTTACACATTGAGGAATTAACTATGTGACTGGGAAATCAATGACTATTTTGTTACCCAAATATGAGGTGTGATGCAATTAAGAAGATGTAAAGGGTACAGGTTCTCTCTCTCTTTTTTTTTTTGGTATGAGCCTTTTCAAATATCTGATCATAAATGGAGAATTTCTGCACTTAGGCTTGTGATATAATTATTTTTCATGTAAATAATTAATTGTAGTGTGCTACATATACATTAAAACATCAACCCCCTTCAGAAGTGAAAGAAGTGTATCTAAGGCGAAGGGAGTCATTTCACTCCTATCATATGCCCAGATGAAAAGATTTCCTCATTTCCCAGCATGTATTCCTCGTGCATTCTGAGATGAAAGCAAGCTCCCTGTGCGTCCAGGAAGATCTGCCAATTGCCTTCCAACGGCATTTCCAGTTTTCCACTAGAATATCCCTTCCTCACTTTTACCACGTCTCGTTAAGAAGTTCAATTGCTAACTAACCACCAGACTTTTTCTAGTAGCCAGAAGCTTAACGTAACTCTAGTCCCTGGTGAAATGCTACTGGATTACCCATCAGGATGGATATGTCTGTATACACACACACGCACACGCGAGCATGCACACAACCACACATGCACCATTGCATGGTGTATAACCATGCAAACTTGAAAGACACCTACAATCTTAAAACATTTTCAAAACCAGCCTAAGTGATATATTTTACTAAGCAGAGTTGAATGGGACACTGGCAGGAAAGATTATTTATTCCCTGTAACTCAATCTTCTCAGAAATTACGAACTGCTGATTAGTGCAAGGGGGGCACATTGCTAGGGGCATATTTCAGAAATTATGGTACATTTTTCTCTGCCTATTATGATAATTTAATGTCCTTTTCCCTACTTTAAAAGAAAATTGTAATCACCAGTCTTTACTCACAACACTTGGTTAAGGCCATTTCCATTTCATTTTGTGTCACCATAAGCCAAAAAAATTTTCTGATGAGTTTAAAAAATATCACAGCGCATTAGGGAATTAGGTCATAACTCACCAGTGCTTTTTCTATAGCACAGGCACAAATAATTTATCTTCTGAAACTTGGTACGATAGTTTTGATTCACACATGGAAATCTTATTAGCCCATGATGGAGTCCAATTATTAAAAATAGTATGTGTACAGGAATTAAAGATTTGAAGCCAACAATGTATATGCAATATTAAAACATACACATGTAATATAGACACACAGATTAACATTGTTGAAAGACATCTGGATTGACCACAAAGACATTGAGTCCATTATATGAATATTACACTCTTTTTAAACATGAATTTATACGCTTTTCTTTGTTGATAGAGTTCTGATGTAATGATGCTTTAGTAATTCTCTTCTTGTCCTCAAATACGATTAAAAATTGCACCACTAACCCCTTACTTTTGAAACTTAACAAGCTAAAAGAGGAAGGGAGGGAGGGAGAGAGGGAGGGAGGGAAGAAAGAAGGAAGGAAGGAAAAAGAGGAAGATGGGAGGGAGGGAGAAGAAGCCTTTCTCAATTCCAATACCTAACTCCTATCACTGAGTAGAATTACATTACAATATAATTCTTTCACATACTCATAAACAGTATTTCATGACAGAGTTTGTAGTTACTTTATCTCTGGCATATTAGAAAACATAGAAGAAAAATTTTAAAAATGTAATTTCTGGCCATTTCTGTTTATCACAATGATGATAAACTTCTCAACTTACCCCCAAATTCTGAGTGGATTGTCTTTTGTCTCCCGAAGAAATCATTTTGTTACTAATAGCAAGGTCCTTTAAAAGCCCCAAATTAGCTATCAGGCTGAGGCTGAGGCTGGGACTTAGCTTGGGAGAAAGAAAAAGTAGCCAAGTATAGTTGGGCTGGCTACAGGGAATGCCAATTGGGTCTACAGCGGACTAATGGGGAAAATGGAACTGCAAACAGAGAACAAATTATAAAGCAACATACAAACATTGTTATTATTATTGGTAATGCTTAATTATAATAATAACAATAATTATAATATTTTCAACATTGACTATTTTGATCCACATACCCAAAATGCAACTATTCAGAATGAAAATCAACAAGTTAGTTGATTTTCAACTAGACCTGTCAACTACAGGTCTGCTTTGCTTAAGAGCTGTGGATAAGGAAAACCAACAGCTCCAAAATTCTCCCCTATGGAACCTGCTAGAAGGCTCACTGGAGCCACAGTAATTTCTGTTCTTGGAGTAGGGAATCAAGCCAACTACATGCTTTTCTCCAGGTTGAAATTTTGCGTTTATTTCAAAACCTTAAGGAAATTATATTCCCTTTTCCCTCAGTATTGACCCTACCACTTTAAGCCATTTTAATTTCACTGCAAAGGAATTTAAACTAAATTTTGTATTAACTTATTTCATATTATTACTCAAGAAAGACTGAGACTAAAAAGGATGTGCAAAGCTGTACATCCATTCAGTGGGTTCGAACACATACAATAAATGAAATCTGCACCAAAACATAGTTATTGGGACTAAGTTTGACGTTACCTCTGGTACTCCTAATTTTCGGCATGCTTCCAAAAAGTTTTCCACATTTCTTCTGCATTTGGCCATGCTAAGTTTGGGCTATAAATACAAATGTGCAGAAATAATGTATTATTAAAAGAGAAATAATTTTAATAACAGGTTAAGTTTTAAACTTTCTAAATGCCACAACTAATACATGTTCATTGGAGGAAAAAATACATAAGCAAAAAGAAGACAATAAATATCATCTAGAAACATCCACCTAGAGATAAAAATTAAGATTTTGGATTATATTCTTCCAGACATTGTATATGTGTGTGTGTGTATGTGTGTGTAAAGATGTAAGTAACTGGGGCACCCGGCTGGCTCAGTTAGTAGAGCGTGCAACTCTTGATCTTGGGGTTATGGGTTCGAGCTCCATGTTGGGTGCAGAGATTACTTAAAATAAAGTCTTAAAAAAAGATGTACATAACCATATGTACAACACTGATGTTTATATAAGCAGAATTTCTGCATGTGTGCATACATGTGTATAGGTATGTGTATACATGCAAATTTCTACATACATATGTATGTGTATGTGTATGTATACATACACACATGCATACTGACAGTTTTTATGGGATCATACTCTTGCGTAATCTGCTCTCGTTCATCTACAAATACACCATAAGCATCACCTGTTGCCATCAGCAAATATATTTCAATGTGAAGGGTTAAATTCAGCAGGCCAATTAATCTCCTTCCCACCAAAGCGAAGGGTTTAACAACAAAGAGGCAACAGAGGTAAATGGCATAAAAATAGTGGGATGTTTAGGACCCAATCAAGGGCCACTCACAGTTGAGCTGACTGTGGTTACAGATCACCTCTAAGGTGTGGGATGGAAAACAGGTACATCGGATTCACACATTTTAATTTTTACATGGTAGGTTTAAAAGCTTTACTGTTAAATTTTAATATTTCCTTCTTCCCTTAAAAAGGGAGCAAGAAGTATGACTGACTCCAACAATCTAGGTGTAGAAGCAATGTTTTAGAAAGACTGATTTTGCCCTGTGAACAGCAAGTGACCGTGAAGTAACTCTTATTCTAGATGATCTACACCAGTCATCACAAAAATCTAAGTTTGCACATTATTTTTAAAAAAGGGACTCCTTCTATCCCTACCTCCTCACCCCCCCAAAAAAGAAAGAATGAAAGCCTGCTGATGTGGAACAATTTAGTTTGGAAGCTAAACAAACATTCTCCACCTTGGCTAGAGAGGAAATGGTCCCCCCTCAATGTGAGACTTGCAAAAGTGGGGCAAGAAGCTGCTTGGGTGGTTTTGCCCATTTCCTGGCATGTGTTAGGACAAGACCACCACATTAACCTCATGCAAAGGGAAGGACGGGCAGAGGTAATGTGACATGGGGATACCAGAAGAACAGGTGCTAGCCCAGCTGTCAGGGCACCCAGAGGCATTTCATCATTCAGAGACCCTAGCATTTGTCTCTCCAATCCTCTGGGCCCATTATCTTCCTTCATATACTTATTATTTAGGTGGGAGGAGGGGTCTGTTCTGAAACTCCGAAGATGCCCAACACCATTCACAATATTTATGTCAGCCCTAAGTGAGGTGAGTTTCAAGCTACACAAAGAGAATTTCCCATCTTTGGAAGTGGGAGGGAGGGCCCCATTCTACGATTGATGCCTGGGTTTAGGGTAGAAAAGTACTTGCTACAAATAAGAGGTTCAACCCCACCATCAGCTGAAGAGTCAAAATGACACCAGCCTTGCATAAAAAAAATGGACAGTATCAGTTTCGTTAGTGAAAAATTAGAATGCTTAATGCTGACAATAACGTGGTAGAAAAGGCATCCACTGCTGTTGGTGCAGCTACGATGGTGCAAATGGAGTGTTTACTGGGTGTCGGATACTCCGCTAGGGGCTACGTGTGCACCCATGGAAGTGAAACACACAATCCTCATGGGCGCTTAGCTCCAGTCTAGTTGGATCTATTGGTAAGTTAACGGAGATTACAGTGTAATATGATACAGGCCTTAGTTGTGAGATGACCATCAGGAGGAAAAAAAAAGCAAGGAAAAGAATCTAACTTCATTCCAAGGGGTCAAGAATGGCTTGGCTCCCAGAGACGCTGAAGCAGAGGACAAACGGGAGCCTGAGCGGCTGCGAGGTGAGGAGACTTGGAGAGAGGGTAGGGAGCAACCTTCCGGGTAAGAGAGCACAGCCCGGACAAACAGTCGACAATGAACGCACAGACCAGGACAGCAGGCTGGGCTGCTCAGAGGGGCTCCGAGACGCTCACTCAAGAATGTTTGCTAAGTGGACATTTGGAAACAGCCTGTATTTCCAAAATACAGGCTATGATATGATAACATAAGGTACAATATCTGACAGTTATTAAAATGGGCACTTGTTGAAAAATTTTAATGGCATGAGGAAATATTTAGGTTTTGATAAATTTTAAAAACTACTAAATGGTATACGTGAGGAGCTAATAATTCAGAAACAACTTAAACGTAGAAAGGATGCTAGTAGTTCGTAGAGAAACCAAAATGTTAACAGTGGTGGTCTTTGGCTTATGGAATAAAGGCTGTTTTTTCCCTCTGCATTTCTGTATTTTCTCTAGTTGGGCATTATTTCCCAGTATTTTTTCAATTAAAAAAATTATTTAGAAAAGAAAATAGGGACTCCTGGGTGGCTCAGTCGGTTAAGCGTCTGACTTCAGCTCAGGTCATGATCTCAGGGTCCTGGGATTGAACCCTGCATCGGGCTCCTTGCTCAGTGCGGAGTCTGCTTCTCCCTCTCCCTCTGCCTCTCCCCCTGCTTACGCCTTACGCTCTCTCTCTCTGTCTCAAATAAATAAAATCTTTAAAAATAAATAAAGAAAAAAGAAAATAGGTTGACAACCAAAAGATTTCTAGAAGAATGCAGCATGTTTCCTGAAGGCTTAATATAAACTAATGATGTAATGTACGGTGATTAACATAACATAATAAAAATGTGTGTGTGTGTGTGTGTATATATATATATATATATATATATATATATATAAATGCTTAGATACATGATTCATATTCACTATGAATAATATAATTGTAAATTCAAATTGGAAGCTATGAGGAGTCATGGTTTCTCTCTTATAATTCAGAAAGAATTATGAAATGAGAATTTGGCACATGGCTCAGACAACTTTACAGCAGTTTGGACCTTATTTGTAGAAAACAGTGGAAAGTTTCATACTGGATTATAGGGCAGAATTTGTTGCCCAAACTAAGGCAAGCTAGAGACAGATTTGAAAGAGAAGACAAATTGATCTTCCCCCGCCCCCATAATTTTTTTTTAAAGATTTTATTTGAGAGAGAGATACTGAGAGACAGCAAGAGCAGGGCGCAGGGGCAGAGGGAGAGGGAGAAGCAGGCTCCCTGCTGAGCAGGGAGCCCGATGTGGGACTTGATCCCGGGACCCTGGGATCATGACCTGAGCCCAAGGAAGACAATTTACCCACTGAGCCACCCATGCGCCCCTCCCCTCTGATTTCTGAGGCAAAAATGGTACAACTTTTCGGAGGAAGAATACGTTCCACAATATAGAAAGGAAACTGACAGTTGGAACAGGATCCTCAGTTAATCTCTCCTGCTGCCAAGAGAAAAGAAAGCATAAAAAATACCACTGTGACCTCCTTAATGCCCATCACCCGATGTAATAAGCACTGGGTGTTATGCGCAACTGATGAATTATTGAACACTACATCTGAAACTAATGATGTATCATATGTCAGCTGTTGAATGTAAATTTAAAAAGAAAAGAGAAAAAAAGATAAGGCCATTGTGAGGCTTTCCTGGGGGTGAGGGAGGTAGAAAAACGCTCATTATGTGATATTTTATGAGCACTGTGCCTTGACATTGGGGCTCTGAGTTTTGAAAATCTGTTCCATAGACCAACGATAGCAGCGGCTAAATTCGTGCATGTATCACAGGCAGTAGCCTTATTTTATCCTCACAGGAACACTTCCATGATAGAGAACAGATCAAGGTAAAAAGAGGTTAAATACTTGCCCGCAGTCATAGGGCTGACAAGTAGGTGTGGAGTTTGAACCCAAACCCTGCGTTCTTAGCCCCTAAACTCTTCCGCCTCTCCTAAGAACAGCGAAGAGTGTGGACAGAAATTCTTCTTTGTCCTCCGCTTGCCTGAACCTGACCTAGGCTCCAAAGGCAAGCTGTGCCCTGATTCCCCCACCCTCATCTGAATGACCATAAAAGTGACCCCGTAGCTCTGTGACCTATAGGCAGCAGCTCCCACTGCCAGCTTCCTCTCCCCTACAGCAGACACGAGGAGTTTTAGGCTATTAGCTGAGTCTCAGCGATCAGTCTGTCTCACTGCTGCCCCAGTATCTCGTGTACCCCGAGCAAAGTGAGGCCTAATGCCCGGCTGACCAACCTCTGGCTTGACGGGTTATTTAAAATGCCATTTGACAGAGAACCCACATCTTTCCAGAATCATCCTAAAATCCTCAGTGACTAATAAAGGAAAGAGATTCCATTTAGCAGAGAAGCCACCAACCAAAAAAGCTTCCTGGAAAGACTTCTCACTGTTTAAATAACCCCTAGTGAGAAATGAATCTTTATGTCCTTACAGCCTTAAAAGTTAGCGCCCCAACCAGTAAGTCCTTTAACGTGATGTGCTTTGTCTTTGAAATAAATTCTTTTCCTGGCACTTACGTATTTATATATTCTCCCTTTTTAGGGGAAAATGTTGCTTCATTCAGAGCTTTTTCTTTCCCACTCTTCTAGTTGTTGAGGTCCTGGGGGACCCTGGCAGCAACTTTAACAAGCAACACTGTCCCCCCAAAATCTGTCTTATGTGAAAGTTAGTTTCCCTTTATCTGGTGTTACTTACAACTGCTGGTGAGGGGACGTGGATGCTTGCAACGGATCGCGGGCGGATGTGATTGACCAGGTGGCAGAGGACCACGCCGTCCATGAGTGCCGCCCCCAGGTCTTCGTGCAGGCTGACCTTGAGTCTCATCTCGATGCTCTGGGGGAGGAATCAGAGGGAAGCCAGGTGTCATCAGGCAACGGAGGGTCAAATAGAGTTACAGGTATTTATGAATTGAGACATTAACATACTGGGATAACTTCTTGAGTTCAATGTTGCCTCACCCTTGGCTATGGAAATATAAAACCAGAATGAGGTGACCAACAGAAAGCAGGACCAATTGGTTCTGACAGGCTGCCAGGGGCAGAGGAGGGACTAAGGGATGCTTTTCTCTTAGATTATGTTTTAGCTGAGAAATCAATTTTTCTCCCTTAAAAAAAATTGAACTTTCTATTTTGAGATAATTATAAATTCATACTCAGTGACAAGAAATAATACAGAGATCCCATGGCTTTTGGGTGGCCCTTTAAAAGAAATTGTGCCCATTAGCATTTCTGGGTTTCCAACTACTTCAGCTCCAGATCTGAGATATATGAGGCAAAAAAGAAAACCCACAGAGCTCACCACGGTGTCATTTCTAGTCCCTAGGGGCCCTAGCCAGACTGCTGTCTTCTCTCTACCTTTCTGAGTGTTCTTATGTTTATTTTATATATAATGTCCATGGTTTTTACTTGTACTTAGTGAGGGAAACAGGGAAAGGTAGGTTTGTTTGATCTTCTCAGAAGCAGAAGTAGAGAAATTAACTTTCTGAACTTCAAATACAAGTTTCTGTTTTATAAAGTGGCTCCTATTAAATGGATAACAGCCCAAGAAAGAATGACTTATTTTGGAGATTTGGAATAAATGAAACACTAGAAAACCAGTGCATAAAACAGTGTCACGTAATTCCTTCTCAGAACGGTCCTGTGTGTAGACACCTACTTTTCTTCTGTACACTCTTTCAGTCCCTTATTTTATATCATAAATGAAAATGTAAACAACCAATATAACCCACACTTTAAAATAAAACTGTCACTCTTTGAGAGGCATGTCTCAGCTTCTGATCTTATTTTCACCTTCCTCTGAAAGTTCACCTGCCAAATTTACAGCACATGCAAATACTCTAGGCAAACCACAGAGGTCTGACTTTCTCGCTGGGACTGTTGAGCCAACCACAGTGACTTAAAGCAGTGGGAAGGGGTTTCTGTGCTTTTAATTCCTCCCTCCTGACCCCCTGCTAAACCATATATAAACTATCACCTGTAGCAACAACAGTGTGGACCTACCTTAATTTAATTTAACTTTGATTTTATTTACGGGATTCAGTTCTCATTTGCAGAACTCATTGCCATCTGAAATTATATGTTTATTTGTTTCCTTCTCATTTACTATCTCTACTCATAGACTACGGGCTTCATGAGAGCAGGGACCTTTATGTTCTCTCCTATATCCATCTCCTAGAATACTGCCTGATACACAGTAGCAGTCAATCACCCAGTGACTGAAGAAGATGTACCTTAAATCTATCCCCTCTAGACTTTCTTACATTCTTCTAGTCCATGGCTATGGTACTTGTCCTTGAATATAAAGAACTTATGAAGCAGTTCATGGTGCGCTGACTTTAATAATTAATATCCATGTGCTCTCTGGCGACTGACCCATGCACTGCTATTTGTTCTTTCATATATTCATGTATGAGCTCTTGAACTAGATACAAAGACCATGAGGATAGACAAATACCTCCAGAGTGCCCACCAGAAGCTGTGTGGGAACAGAAATACAAATAAGATAGCCATGTTCCCTGCCATCACCAAGCTTAAAATCTTCGTTGGCACCTAGCACTCTTGGGTAGGAACTCAAATGCTTTGCTTAAATGCCTGATTACAAAGTTCTGATCAGTTGGAATACAAAGTAGGATAAGGATAAACATTTTTAAATTAATGGAATGTTATTGCTAAGTAAAAGAATGACAGCATATTATTGTAGAGCATACCTGAACTGAAACAATACTAGGTTTTATCCATATGTATTTCAACTTCCATTATCTCATATATTCCTCACAAGACCCCACTAAGATGGGAAGTATTTTTTTAATACATGAAAAAACCTGAAATCAGGGATGTTATGTGACTTGCCCAATATCAGTCAGGAGGTGACCTGGCTAGATCTGAATGAGGCCTTTTGGCAGCACTTCAAAGTCTATTTTTCAAATGTACAGAATGCCGCCTCAATTCTGAAAACGGGTATTCAGGGATGGACTGTTTCTGGGTGAGAATGGGCATTCAGGGATGGACTGTTTCTGGGTGAAAACAGGTATTCAGTGATGGACTGTTTCTGGGTGAAAACAGGTATTCAGGGATGGACTGTTTCTGGGTGAGAATGGGCATTCAGGGATGGACTGTTTCTGGGTGAAAAGGAGTATTTGGGGAGGGACTCTTTCTGGGTGAGAACGGATATTCGGGGAGGGACTGTTTCTGGGGTACCTCACGGAGTTGTTCCACCAGTTCCTTCTCCTCTCTCATCTGTTCCATTTTCCTCCGAATTGTAAACTGTGGGTCTATAGATTCCAAATTTCTCTGAGGTCTTAGAAACACTGTAATAAAAAGGAAAAAAAAAAAGCCTTTATTGAGTGCCTACCACAGGTCGCCATATAGGACTACTCGTATGGACGTTAAATCAATAGTTTACCCTCAAATGATGCACTTAGCACTCACAGAAACAAATTCTGACTTCACACGGAAGGCTTGATTTGAATATTCTAAAGATTATATTTTAAACTGTACTGAGTTATGCAGACTAACAACAGTTGTATTTTTGGTGATAATAGACTGAATCCAGGGAAGAGTGTGGATCATCCTTGGACCCATGCCAGGCCACAGCTCTGACAGATGTCCCCTCTCTCATGTTCCTGCTGCTTTCATCTAAGTGTTCATTTATCCTTGGGGTTTCATGATCTTTTCATCAACTCAGATAATTTTATTCAAAGAAGAGGACTAGAATTGCTTTACACGTTAAAAATGAGGACAGGTTAATATTTCTGTTGGCCAAAATTTTTTATAAGCCTGAGTTAAGAACTAGGTGGTGATACACAGGATTACGTATTTTAAATGTGGAGTGGAAAAACTCTGCCTTCTATCACGTCACTGATATGATATCCAGAAAGTTAGTTCTTTAGAGATGACCATAGACTCCTTTTAGAAAAGCTGGCAAGATTAGAGGCAGTTTAAGAGATCACCCTTGGCTTCATGTCTTTAAAATTACAACCATCACGAACAGCAACTAACAGCAGAGCTCCCTCTGAAAGGCGGCCAGCCTCGGGCTCCAGAGAAAATGAATACTCTAAACCTCTGAAGGATAACATCTTGTAAAGACTAATAAAGAAGGTACACAATATTCTACATATGGCAGGCTGATTCTAGCAAGGATTTTAATCACTTTTTATTATGATACAAAGCCCAGTGCAGATTTAAACTTGATTTTTTTTTTTCTCTTTTGAGATTTTTATCCCACTGAGACTGTCAATTTCCCATTCACACAGGAGGGAGCAAGGTGCTGGTAAGAGCCGTATTTGCCCCTCCTGTCCTATAGACCTTCAGACTACATGTGGGCTTAGGGGGCGAGGTGGGGTAGGGGAGCCCTCCAGGAAGTTTTGGGCAAAGAACTTCGGTTTTAAAAACCACAACCACAGGGAAGGCTGCATGGGTACTGCAATTCCAGTAATTTTGATCACCATAATATAAATCATGTAAACAAGGGCATGCAACTTTTATTCTGACAAATATTTCCTACAGACCACTTAAAAAGTTACTTCAATTTACTAATTTTTAAAAAAAGTTAAATATGGTTTACAAATATACTTAGAATAGAAAAACTTGAGTCCACTCCCTATAATCAATTATTGCATGCTCACCCAACTATGTCATTTTAATCTCAATGTGTACCTTTGGATGAAACCACCTTAATAAATGACTTACATGGGGGCGCCTAGGTGGCTCAGGTGGTTAAGCATCTGACTCTTGGTTTTGGGCCAGGTCTTAATCTCAGGGTCCTGAGACTGAGCCCTGCACCAGGCTCTGTGCTCATTGTGGAGTCTGCTTTAGATTCTCTCACTCTCTCCCTCGCCCTCTGCCCCTCCCGCTCATGTGTGCACTCTCTCTCTCAAATAAATAAATAATTAAATAAGTAAATAAATGAAATAAATAAAATGATTTGCATCAAGCTTCTCACATCTCAGTATTTTCTAAGTCAGTTGTAGGATATGTGAATCAGCATTCTGATGCTCTATGGAAGATTAGAAAGTTGTCCTAATAAAACCTTGATTTACAGCAAATGGAGAAAGAGGGAGGTCTACTAGACATAGCACCTTCTGGAACTTCAGGGAGGAGTCCGCCTGGGGCCTGGGCCTCTGCTTCAAGCCATCCAGGGAAGTCACCGGCAAAAAGAGCCAAAGACATGTCACCAAAGGGCTATCACCAAACCCCACAGAAACCAAACCCACAGGAAATGAGACCGATTATTTAAAAATCAAGGCAAGTCCAGCAAAGCAAGTAGGGTAGCATAACCTGTAGGGAGAGATGAGCAGTTTGCAGAGCAAAGGGAAATAAGGAGAAGGTGGACAAACTAGGAAGCCGGGAAGAAACTGGAAATGCATTAAGCTTGCCTTTGAATCTTATCAAGACCAACAAAAAAAAAATCTACCCATTTAACATAACATCCAGAAGAGATATATATTGGAATGTAAAATTTTAGAAATAATCCACACCCCCCAAAAAAGAAGTCAACCAAATTTACCAAAAAAGTCAAGGAATGTAAGCAGAGTTGAGTAATACATACACTAGCCAGCAAGGGGCGCCCCAACATTGTTTAAACAATGCTAATGTTTTCTTTGGAGGTTTTATTTCCCTTTGCCTTTTTTCTAGGGGGCAATCTTATCTAATACAGCATGCTTAATATTTTCAATATGTTTTTATTGGCAGATTTCTTTTGAATACGAAACTATCAGGAAGTTAACCATGAGCTTTTGTTTAACAGCACACAATTCAAGTATCCTCGCCTTGTTAGAACCCTATGTGAGATAAGATAATACAGTGGTGTCTGGGTTTTAATGTCCCAGCATCATTTTTCATCTTAAATTCCCATGCATCTTAAAAATATAAAACGAATGCTTGGGAATTTGCTCTATGAATGTGAAGCAATCACAAAGTGTTAAACACATTTGAAGTGTGTTTTTTTAAATGAATATTTCAAAAGTACCTAAAATTATTGGAAACCATGACGACAATATTACTAGTTTTCTAAGTGGGTTAATTACTGTAGAATATATGAGAAATTAAAACAAACTCTTTAGACTAATAATAACTCTACAGAGGACATACATGTTTGCTTATTTTGCGAGGTCTGTTATAACAGAACCATTTTAATGGGACCATGATGGTAGCTCTGATTCTGTTACCTACAGTTTTTTTTCCTTTTCTTTCAAGTCATATTTAAATAATATGTGTAGTGACCATTCTGACCCAAAGCTTCAGGAAATTGATCTATAGACGAATTACTGTTTTTTCCTTAATTTCATATCACTAAATTTTAAGAACTTCCTTATTTAATTCGGGGGGGGAAAGTTTAACTTGAGGCTACAAAACAATATTAAGAAGAGCTGCACTGTTAGGACCTGTCTTTCAAATCAAATGTCACCCTATTTAAGTGTAATTAAGAAGCAAAAAAAAGAGGGCGCCTGGGTGGCTCAGTTTGTTAAGCGACTGCCTTCGGCTCAGGTCATGATCCTGGAGTCCCGGGATCGAGTCCCGCATCGGGCTCCCTGCTCGGCGGGGAGTCTGCTTCTCCCTCTGACCCTCCTCCCTCTCCTGCTTTCTGTCTCTCATTCTCTCTCTCTCAAATAAATAAATAAAATTAAAAAAAAAAAAAAAGAAGGAGAAGAGAGCAGAGGAAGTGTGTGGAGGACTGTGTGTGTGTGTGTGTGTAGGAACAGACAAAAAAGTGGGTGATTTAAGGGTGATTAAAGATGCAGGAAAAATTAGTCATGCTTAATTGTTTAATTACTATGTATCTAATAAATAACATTCAAAGAATGGAAAAGATGATTTGCTCCTGTTTGTAATTTATTTAGCAGAAGAGACAAATCTCTAAGCAAAGCCCCTGCAAGGAATGATGAATATGTTTGTGCAGAATGTCAAATTCATCTTTTTAGGTACAGGTCAAATTCCACTGATTTTTCCATTATCTCTGCTACTTCTTTCACTTTTCTCCTCATCCTCATCCCCAACCTGGGAGTGATCTATCAACATACAGAATTCTTTATCTGTGTCTCTCTCATGGTACTCATCACTTTCTCTCTTGCAGTCTACATCTGTTCCTCTCCATTATGACTCTGTAAGAGTTTATGTCTGTTTCCAATTTGTATGTCTCCTCCTGCCCCATAAAGCTGTTTGATGGATGAAAAAAATGAAACAAGTGTTTCAAAAATTCCCTCATTCAAAGATCAGTCTATTTGGAGAGTATCTTTGTAGAGATTATCCTACCCTTATAATCAGTCACCTCAGTTTTTCCTGTCATGAAAAATCTACTGAAGCTTGGTTTCCAGGTCTGAATTCATTTGACTCTGAAGTAAAAGTTCTATAGAAGCAGATATCTTGTTTGTCTTTTGCAGAGTCATATCCATAATAACGAACCTCATGCACAGCACAAAGTAGACAACAGACATTTAAGAATGTGCACAAGAAACCATTTCTCTATTTGTTTAAGAATATCTTTTTAAAAAAAGATTTATTTATATATTTGAGAGAGAGAGAGAGCGTGGGGGGAGGGGCAGAGGGAAAGGGAGAGAATTCCTCAAGCAGACTCCTTGCTGAGCGTGGAGCCCAACACAGGGCTCAATTCCAGGACCCTGAGATCATGACCTGAGCTGAAATCAAGAGTCAGCTGCTCAATCAACTGAGCCACGTAGGCACCCCAAGAATATCTTTTAGTTAAATCAAGAAATCCCACTGCTCTAAAAATTGCCTGAAATGCTTATTTAATTATTAGGTGAAATGCACTCCTGGTATAAAATTTATCAGTCTATATTATTAACCTTTATTACCTAAATTTAACTCAGTGAGAGATTTCTTCTCCATGGACGTATGGGGTTTTGAAATTTAGCTCTGTTTCTCCTTGGAAGTTAAGAACCTGGACTGGGTGTGGTATTTAAGATATACAAATTCAAGGGCAGCAAAATAAAATGGCTTTGAAAAAAATACCAGGGGCTTTAGATCCTGGCTAATGTGAATTAGAAATCTGATTAATGCATTCATTTATTCCCTTCTGGTGCCCCAAAATGAATTAGATACATTCTCTCTCTGCCCTCAAAATGCTCATATTTCCTCTCTATAATTTTGGGCAATTTATTCTAACCTAGTGACTTTGACCTACTTGAATATAATATAAAAATCAGTAAAAAAGTAATCAATGTGTAGAGTCCATGTGACACCAAATAAATTAGCACCTCTGAATGTGGAACTAGGCAGCTACAGTCTTAAAAACACTCAAATGATTCTAATATAGAGCTAGGGCTCAGAATTGCTGAAATGCCTCTCATGGCCTATGTCCTCATTTTTGTATGGGGAAAATAATACATAGAAGTGCAAGGTTATTGCAAAACTTAGAAAACGTCTGTAAATTGGCCTAAGATGGATGGATATGTCCATTCATTCATTCACTCTCTAGTGATAATTCAATGGCCAATTTTAAATAAGTATAAATTAGCACCCACGAACTAACTGCAAATGAAAACGGACAATGATTCAAAAGAAGATAGGAACAACAAAAAAGGGGGAGAAAAAGAAGATAGGAACAGTTTTCACTTCAAAGTGAAGGGGAAAGGCAGGAAAGAGGCAGAGTAGTAATAGGGCACAAGAGCAAAAGAAAGAGAAGAAATTGTTCCCAAGTTAAGAACCAGATGAAGTGAAGCTGCCCCACCCAGCGCCAGGAGTGACCCACAGCCCTGCACACACCCTCCCCATCCTCTCCATCCTCCTCCTCCTCCCCATCCTCATCCTCATCCTCCCATCCTCCTCATCCTCCCATCCTCCACATCCTCCACATCCTCCCCATCTGTCTCAAGGGGCAGAACTCCAGTGACCGCGGGAATGCAAACTTCCAAGGACCTTCTAGCCACTTTGCCATTTTTTATTACTTTGAAGAAAAAGTTTTAGAAAAAGATGGGGAATTCAAAATGAGACATATTTGAAATGAAATACTGAAAAGAATTTAATTAAAGGGGAATTTTAATATAAAGCAAGACAGTGAACAAGGTCTAAAAATGCCAACTTTACCCAAAACTAAAAAAAATATAAATGAAAGACAAACTACATTACACACCGGGTTGAGTCGGGGATAAGATGCCGTTTCTTTACAAAGGTTGAGACAGGTACAGATAATGGAGACCAGGAATAGGGGGAAACAAAACTGATGTGCTAATCAGCTTGGAAATGCCAAGAATGGCCACTGGACAGGATCTCCTACTTAAGAGGAATGAGTAAGAACAACATAAAATCGCAGGCTGTATTTCTCTTGCAAGATTAATTTGTATGCTTGTGAATACGTATCGTGCAACTTCATTAATTTAAAAAATGCTTTGGAAAATATATCAAAATCACAAGGCCAAGTGTAGCACAAAGAGAATGAAGAAGCATGTGAAAAGTCAGATCTGGGAACCTGCACAAATATTTATTTGTAAAAACAATTTCTGCATAGAAAATTTGCCCACAACACCTTCTAGACAAACTGCAAATAGGGATGAACGACAACCACCCATTACCTGATGTGACTGATGGAACCACATGAATATTGAGAGTAATTCTTTTATTATGACTGTGGTACAGCTTGATAGCTACACATGAATCTCTGGAATTTGCACTCGTACAAAAAAATACCAAGTAAAGAGTGCAAGGTTATTTTATTTTCAGAGAGATTTCTACAATTATTAATTTCTATGGATATCTTAGGATTTTTAATAAAAAGAAGGCAGTCTGGCTTATGGCTTGCACTGAGAGTCCTCAATAAACAGCTGCCGAGTGAGTATGGAGATGGTGCAGGGCTAGGACCCTGGGTGGCCTCACCTCCATCACGACATAACAGTGTGACCTCACCTTTCTGGTTTTAGCTGGCGCATCTATATAGATAGAAATTCTGCTACATAACATGACTAGATCTTGCCCAGCTTAAACAAACAAACAAACAAACAAACAAAAGTCCTTTGGTTTCAGATATCACTCCTAAGGAAATACCAAATCACACATAAATCTTTCATTTTAGGCTTGATTTCCTTTAAACAACAGCAGACCCATAAATAGCCATGCTTTCTGAAAAACAAAAATGCCTCTCCCCCTCTTTTTTTATTTTTGAGTAAAGGAAGAGTTTCTCAAGAAAGTTTCCACTGAGCCCTCTTCAACTTCCAGATTTCAAAATAGGGATGGTATAAGGAGGGACTTTTGTCTCATTGCTGTTGTTGTTGAAGCATACTTATTTTCAGTTAAAAAAATTTAGAAATCTATGAAATAGTAAAACCCTTTTTACAACTAACCTGCCAAAATATACATGTATCCTTCTTCATAAGGAAACTGGAAAACTTTTTTTATTGAATTTTGACCAGAAATCACAGCAGATGTTTTAAATATATTTTTTCTGTATAACATACTTCAATTAAAAAATAACTATGATCGGAAAATTTATTTTCTTATTGTGTTTGCATTTTGGTTATACCTCATATCTTACTTCTCTTCCCTATAAATCATGCTATTTCATTTAACATTACTTTTGTCACTTTGTATCTTAGAATAAAATGTTTAAAATCTTAACTAACATTAGGCTAAATGGAGATTCTGATCTATGTGGCATGTAGGTCTAGATAACTATTTTTTGTTTTCATCTTTTAGGCTATTTAAGCTATTTAATGGCACAAAACTAAAAGATATTCATAATAATCCAATGAGCTGTCTTCAATTTTTTATTGGCACATTTGATTTTCAGGCCAATTTGAATATCATATAGGTGAACAGACACTCGAAAAGGTAGAAGGTGTCAAAAGTTAAAATGTGCAAATAACAACAAAAAAAAGAAGGCAAGTGATTTCTCTTCATTTTTAGAAATTTCTCAATGTTAACATTATTTTTAGTGCACCACTCAGCGATCAGCCATGGTATTAATTACCTTAAAAATCTCATACGGTTAAGCATAGATAATAAAAGATCAAACTCTATAGGCACTTTGGTGCAGATGCAGGAGCAAGCAGAGACACTCCAAATGTGCAACCCCCAATTTTTGTAAACAAGCAAACAAAAAACAAAACAACAACAACAACAAAAAAAAACCCAAGCGGAAAACGTAGAGAAAGAAATTATTGTAAAGTCCTCCCGAAATTCAGAACTTTCAAGTTAATTAAATGTAGTTCGACAAACTGCTAGAGAACAATCCCCATGCACTTTCTGGACTTTGTTTTCCAGCTTTTCTCATTGGTGCTTAGAGCAGGCATGCAGGTGCATATACTCTATCCTCAGCTGCACAGAAATGAACGATCAGTATATTCATTGGCTTATTAATGAGCACATTGAAGAACAGGTACAAGGCCACCTACCATTGTCACTGTCTCCTTCAGATGGAACACTGTAGCTAGAGCTGTCCCATGTTTGTGCCTGTGTAAGTTTGTTGAAGGAGATAGGAGGAAGAGTGAGGGCTGGGTCTGCAGGAGAGCAAGAGAGCCGGTCCGCGTACAGTTGGACAAGGACCAGGAAAAACCAAAGGGGCAGCAGCATTTCACAAATGGCATAAGGTTTGTATGGAAATGAAGCGAATTTCATATTATGGGATTTAAATTCAAATGTACAATATAGGAGAAGAATGAAAGATGGCGCATGAAATAAAAAGAATGATAAAAACCGAGTGTTAGTACTTATCAATCATATACTTTGCATGCAGTTAATATCGTTAATCTTAACAGTCCTGCAAGCCCACAGACTCAGAGTCCTAATGAATCATGTCAGCAGAAAGGAAGAGTACCCACAGATAACATAGATACAAAGCAGAAGACCTACCAGACACCTTTTCAAAAACCTTCTAAATAACTAACAATCGTAGCAAATACGAGTCACACAAAAAATTTGGTTACACAGACAAAGCTTAACATGTGTAAATATATCTATTATTTAGAAATGAGACTATTACAGAATCAGTGTTTACCATGTGTCAATTTTTCTCCAAGGCAATGTAAAATTTCTCTTTAAAGGCTACTGGCATGCTTTATTGATAGGCCAACTCTCTGCTCAACCCTGGACACACACACCCCTCAACACTGTCTTGGTACTGATCAGCAGAAAAGCATTTTGTGACACTAGCAGAGTCTCTTTAACAACAAACCTCATTCACCAACAGAAGTCAATCAATTTCAAGTACTTCTGAGTTAGGAATGAACATTTGAGTATATACAGTTGTCTCTCTTTGGAGGAAAACACAGAAGAGAAAAAAAATTTCTTTTGAAGAAAACTATCAGCCTACTTAAGAATCTAAGTTCCTATTCCAACTTGCTGGTTTGAGCAGTCTATTTTTATTTGTAACACAGAAATCACATAAATCCATACCCTTAACTTTAAAAGAAAAGTTAATTGGCTTTCAAAGTTCCAAAGCTACTCAATCAAATAGAACTTCTTTTTAAATCATATCATCTTCAATTAAGATTGCTATATATATTTTTTAGAAAATGTGAAAAATACATACTGTAATATGTTTAAATTACTAAATAAAATGAAAAAATCCCCAATATATAATACAGTTTTATAAAATTCCAACATGCCACTTGATGTTCCTGAAGATAAATCAGCATTATTTACAGCAACCAAACTCCACAAAGCTTTCAACGGCTAGAACAATTTCCACAGTCAGCATTATAGAAAGGTTGGAAGCTTGGAGAGGAAATTATCTTTGTTTTCTGCTATTCAAAATAAATACCCCATTTCTTCTTCCACCACTACAATGAATTTTAAATGGTTGAATAGTACAAGTACAATAGTGATAAGTCGAGTTTGGACTCCATAAAAGAGAGAAAAAAAAATCATTGAGACAATTTTACAACTAAATTGTAAAGATGCACATTCAAAAGAATATTGGTCTTTGGGGATTCATTCAACTTTTGATTGCTCAATTATGAAATATATTTAAAATTCCTTAAAACTACCTGTAAGGATTAGAAGCAAGTCTGTAGCCCAATCTGAGGTCCTGAATGCATAGAGATAACTCTCCTGGAAGGCCGTCACTGAAGGCACGGAGGAGAGGTGCCCACCTGATCATGTCACCCAGTACACACCTGAGACCCCAGGGAAATGGAAGCCCAGCCCAGATCTGACTGCATACGCTCACTGCCATAAATGAGGAGGCCAGTCATTTGAGCCTTATTTCATGCACAATTTGGCTTTCCATAACACACCTACTAACCTTTGCCATGCCCCAGCATTTTCTCAAATAGCTTTGCTTTATAGCCCATCCAGAATGCCAGGAAACCATTACACCTGGCTACATTTACCCATCAATCAACTTGTTCCCCAAACGAAAAAGTTTCCTTCATACAGGAATTATATTTGTTTTTTTATGGGTACCTGTTTACAAAATATACACACATATAACTTCTGTTTGCCAAAATGCTTTACTGAAAAACCCAGGAACATCTAAGTTCTTTACTAGCTTTTTACTTAAATGTGTCTGAATCCTTTCTTAGCAGTTACTTAAAAGCATTATAGTCAAGACTGTATGCAAAGATCCAAAAGTATTAAAATAAAAAAGGACTAAAAGAAGGTAGATAGTGCTAGAACTTCAGTGGAGAAATCAGAAGAACCGAATTTTTCTATGCATCATCGTCCTTCTTTTTAAAACCAATAGTTATTTTGCACATTGCTGTAATTTACATCTGTGAATACACTAACAATAAATTAAAAGAAAGTAGGTAAAATAAGCAGAAAGGCTCTTTTGTTAAATTTTATTTTATTATGTTATGTTAGTCACCATACAGTGTATCATTAGTGTTTGATGCAGAAAGGCTCTTTTAAAGAAATGACTCCTGGCCATTCATGTGAGCCTTGAAATGATCACCTTGTTGCAGGAGGAAATGCATAACCTTACAAGGGTTAGAAAGCCAACAAAGGATATTTTAGAGGAGTCACCCTGTCAGAGGCTGCTCTTTAGCTCAGCACCTTACTAGGAACCACTGGGGCAAAGCACTAGCTATTTTATCTTCCCTGGGTAAAACACTCATTAGAATATTTCTTCCCCACTAACATGCCCCATCACCTTTTCTCTTTGCTCGGATTGGAAAGGAGGTACGATATCTACTACTGTTAACATGGACCTAACAGGTGATTCACTGAGAACAAGGCTCCAAAGTCTGGCCTCCCCAAGCTGCAGCTCTGAGGCTAGGACTCAATGTTCACCAGAGTGCGTTCACAAGGCTGCTCACGCTAACACATACACATTTAAGAGGCTAAAGGGAAACCACTGAGTGTTTAGAAGTGTCAGGACGCTGAGGTTTTAATTTACCTGATCGAGGCTTGAGGCCAAATGGAGTTGTGCTGTTGGTGGTGGGAGAGATTGCAGGCGAGTTCGCTCTCATCTGCAGTATTGGAAGGAAAGGGTGTTTTTTTTAAAAAAAAACAAACAACTAAAGCAGAACTACACATGCTTCTCTACGTTCCAGGATTATAATTACACCACTACCTTTTTGATTTGCTGCGTGTGATGAAGACCTGACTAAAAAAATATGATGGATGCATCTTCGCATTGCAAATGGTTGAAGTGGCATCATCAACAGAATGTCTGAGGGGAGAGCCAGTCAATTTTCATTTGCGCAACAAAAAATATTCTATAATCATGTGACACTGGCGATCTTTTCTGCTCCAGAATAGCTGTGTGCATGGGTACACACACTCAGGCACACACTCACACCCCCCTCACAGGGGGCACAGCTGATGGAAGAATGTCATGACACAATAAGAGAGAACAGGTCACACTGGACAGAGTCTCATCTATAGGGAAACCACCCACTGCTCCACTGATGGGTAATAGGACGTTCAAAATGCTGCCTATTGGAGCCATCACTCTGTCTTCTGTAAAGACGCTGCCATATTTGGTCTTCAAAATACATCTTAAAAAACTAATCTTTCATTATGGATAGGGCCAGATAAGACCACGATAGCTAATGAGAGAGACTCCCCCACAGAATCTGCAATACAATTAACTCATGAATCATGACAGTCTCAGATTATGTATTTCTGTAAAAGGTATTCCAATTCAGCCTTCACAAACTACCTCGTCTTACAGTAATCTTCAGAAAACTTACCTCATTTGGAGAATACTCGCTCCCATTGCTCTGTGATGTGAGATCATTTTGCACCTTAAAGAAAAAAATGCGTGGTATATTCCATTAGACCATAAAATTATTGAGGCAAGAACTGCGTCCTTCTGACTTCCCTCATATCCCTGGCACCTGGGCACTCAATGAATATACACTGAATTAATTAATTAGTGTGTTAAATAGCTAAGTAGGTCATACTGACATTTGCTAAAAACATGCAGCCGTACTCACACACACACACAAAATACATCTAAAATATCACACAAACTAAGAAAAGGGATCTCCCAGGGCAAAGAGCTCAGTCCAAAGTACCTTTAAACATAACCCGCCTTGCTCGATGACCAAGCCACGTACAGGCTCCCACTTCTCATTTGAACTACAGGTCTTTAGAAATGGTCCAAGGCAGTATTTCCCAAATACACAGAATCTCACTGGGAGCTTTTATTTTTTTAAGATTTTATTTATTTATTTATTTTAGAGAGAGGAGAGAGAGAGAGAGAGAGAGAGAGCTGTGCGTGAGCAGGGGGAGGGGCCGAGGGGGTGGGAGGGAGAGAATCCTGAGCAGACTCCAAGCTGAGCACAGAGCCCGATGGGGGTGGGGCTCGATCTCAGAACCCTAAGATCATGACCTGAGCTGAAATGAAGAGTTGATGGCTTACCCGACTGAGCCACCCAGGTGTCCCTCATTGGGAGCTTTTAATAAATATACATGCCTACACTCCAAATTACCCGAGACAATCTTGTTATCAATTCGACGCCAGTTTGCTTGGGCAACCAATGAGGAACCTCTAGATTATTTTACTCAGATCAGCCTTCTTTATATGGTCATCAAGGAACCCACTGATTACCCTAAAAAAAAACCTGGTGATAGCTAACATAAACATCTTCATTTATAGTACACCAAATTTGTATAAATTTAAGATGGCTATTCCTATTCCTATTGTTGAGGAGTGCTATTTAAAAAATACTCCAAACTTCGACACATCCAAAGGAAAAACATATTTTTAGAATAAAATGTCATTAATTTCTCTACTCAATTAAATGGCTTTGTTAGAAATACTAACAAGTACCTGCAGGTTTGAGTCTCTCTATGAGCTATTCCTTCCTCCAACACTGTCCCCAATTTGATATTATTTATGAAGGAGACTATAATTTGCAATTCTTCCTGAATAGATGCCAGTGCTACCCAAACTTGATACCATCATCTCAACTATGTTTAAAGTCAGACAATGTGATGTAAAAACCCCTTGGCAATCTCGGCCCTACCTGTTGAACTGGGTAGGGCCACAGTTCACACCCCTCCTCGGTGTTCTGCCTGGCTCACACACTGTGCTGATTCCGCCAGGGCTGCGTGCTGGGACCCATCCAAATCCAAACAACCCCCAAAATCTACGTTTACTTCCCTCTCTCTTTAAACTCTACCTCTTCCCCAGTCTCCCAGAGCACCTAAAATACTCAGGATTACAGACCATCTCAAATTCTTTAAATTTTTTCAATATCCAAGTCTTCTTCCCTCCACATTTTTTTTAAAAGACTTATTCATTCATTTGAGAGAGCGAGAATGAGAGAGAGAGAGAGTACACGAGAGGGGGGAGGGTCAGAGGGAGAAGCAGGCTCCTCGCTGAGCAGGGAGCCCGATGCGGGACTCGATCCAGGGACTCCAGGATCACGACCTTAGCCAAAGGCAGTCACCCAACCAACCAAGCCACCCAGGCACCCCTTCCCTCCACATTTTTTAAAACCTCTTAAAAGGAGGACAACTTCATATCCTTAATAACGCAATCCTTGACACCCAAAACAAAACCAAATCCAGCATAAGTACTCCACAAACACTGGCTAATTGATTCAAGACTTATGCTAAGGTTATTGCTTTCCTCCAGAATGAGATAGAAAATATAAAAATAACCAAATCATAAATGAGGACCACATTTAAATTCTGCATAATCATTAGCACTGGCCTAGCTACTTTCTCTTCCTCCTCCTTGTGCCTTCCAGAGCCCACTATCGGATCCCTCCTTTTCAAAATCACTGAGATGTGCCTGTCATGGACAGATGAATGCCCTAGAGAAGGAAGACAATGAGTAAGAATTTCTTACACCAAATAGGAGTCCTCATTCAACCAAAAAGAAAAAACTAACTTATATTAATACAAAACGTTATAAATCAGAGATGGGAGTGGAGGTATCTTTTTTTAGAGGACTTGTGTCTTAAACTGGTACTCCTGAATCATGCACCCAGGTGGACATCTGTTTTACTAGCATCAAAAGTGCATCTGCAGCAGGACCCTAACCAGTTATAAAGTACCTCTTCACTGACTGCTTATCAGTTGCAATGGAAAAACAGAACAATAAATTACACAGTGGACAAATCAAGTTACACAACAAATGGGCAATCAAATTAACATCACCAATCAGGCCCATCTAGACACGTGTGATATCCTGAGATGGACATAATACCACCTGTGCAGTGTTCTGATCAAGCACACAGAATCCCAATCTAATCATGAGGAAATATGAGGGACTTTTGTCTCACAAAATAAGGGGCACACCATTAAAAAAGAGGAGAGCTACGTTCTTCAAAATTTCAAGGTTGTAAAAACCAAAGAAAGGTTACAGAAATGTTCCAGAGTAAGGGAAACTCCAAACACCTCCTCCTAACTAGATACACTCCCTGCCAGTGTTCCCTACATGGGAGTAGAAAAAAAAAAAAAAATCTGAAGAACATCATTAGATCAACTGAACAATTTGGAATATGAATAGTAGATGAGATGAAAACAGTTTATCAATGTAAATTTCTGAATTTGATAACCGAAATGTAGTTATGTGAAGTAAAACCTCTATTCTTAGAACACATACAGTGAAATATTTAGGGGAAAAAGGACTGTGATATATGAAACCCTCGAATGCTTCAGAAAAAGAACCGTGTGTGGAGAAAGAGAGAAAGAGAAGAAACAATATGACAAATGTGGTAAAACAATAATAGGTCACTCTGGGTAAAAGGACGCAATTTTTGTAACCTTTTGTAGAATCTTGTAATTTTCCCCCACATTTTTATGAATTTAAAATTATTTCCAAATAAGAAGCTTAAAAAAAAAAGTGGGTCAACTATAATCAATCAATAATAAAATAGTGGGTCTGCACAGAATCACAAGGAGCCTGTCTCAAAGGAGAGCCTGAGGGAATGGGCCGGGGGCAGCCTTCACACAAAAGGCTTCCTGATGTTCCAGGACTGGGTAATTCAGTGATGCCTCCACCAGGGAAGACACGGTGCAGTAATTTTGTCTGAGGACCCCACCAATAATGATAATAGAATGGTAAAGTGAGAGTCATAGCTAACGTCTAGGTATCCTGGGTTGTGAGACTGGTCCCAATTTACAGAAAATGAAGGTGAAGTTTAGAGAGGTTGCCCATAGTTAGCAAGTCTTTGAGGTGGGATTAAAACTCAACATAATTCTAAGTCATGGCGCTCAACAAGGAAACCAGAGTGGTCTTATTTAACAGAGACTTAGCCAGTTAAGAGTGTAAAACTGCTTCACTACACTTCACATGCTCAAACACCTCAGGGACATAAATTGATGTGTCCCGAAGTTAGCCACCCAAACCCACTCACTACGGTGGGATGAATTAGGGTGTCACCCAGATGTCACTCCCAAGTCACTAGCTCAAACCTATTTTTAGGACTGTTTCTCTGGGACCTTCTAGGCTCATCTCTAGTTTTACATCAAAACTGCTTTCGACAGCCACCCCATTTCCACCCAGCATAACTCCACCCTTACTCTGTCCCCACATAACCCCACCAGGTCTCTCTGCTAAAGTTCTCCTAATCCTCCCAGGCACTTCCCAAATCATTTGTTCTTGCCTCTCAAGTCTTTTCTAGTTTTTTTCCACCTGGCCACTCCCTAGGCTTCATTCTTGGCTCTAAAATCTACACTGAGTGGTCCTACCTCTTTCTGATGCAGCAGGTTCCCTCGCTATCTTAGTTGCTACTGCCTGGCTCAGCAGAACTATCTGACCCCCCAAATTCAGAGAATTTAATGGGAAGAGCCAACTCTCATCTTTAATGGAAGATGAAGTAAAATAGATATGCAGGAAAACTAAGTAAGGTAAAAGTATAAAAAATGTGAAAAACAGACCGTGAACAAAATTGAATACTAGTCCACTAATGAATGTTCTACCCTACGATCAATCTTTTATAGACTATGGTAGCCACTATTCCGTGGTAGAATACCGCACAGAGCTCTGGTTAATCCAAGAGCGGCCTTACCTCACACACCAGAGAGGTCTCCAGCTGTATTTGACCACTGTAGGAATAAAGAAAAGAAAAGGACATAAAGTGGAATTTAAAGCATACATATTTCAATGTAGAAAGAGAAAATATATTCAGTTACAAGAAGGTCAACATACTTTAGTGCAGAATCTTGTAAGTCTAAGGCTTCTGCTGATTCCACAGGATAAAAGTTCACAACATTCCTCTCTGTAATATCGGTGTTTAATCTAAAGAGGAGGGGAAAGAAGATGTTAGCAAATTTATTAAACTTTTTATATGTTCTATGACTTTAATAAATCCAATACTTTGGGTCATATTTAGTTTATAATTTTAATATATTAAAAAGTTATGTTTATCATTTGGTTAAGTAATCAAAAATTTATGGTAGAAATTTCAAATCACATGATATTTTCCCACTCTGTGCCAAATTTTATATAATTTTAATTTAATTTTCTATCTGCTATTGGTATTGAAATCCAACTTACTTGCAATATAACAGTAATTTCTGCTAAAGTCATAATATTCATAGACAGCACACACTAAGTCCTATTCTAGAACTTGATTGATTTACAGAAGCAAATAAAATTGCTAAGAGTACTATATTATTTTATATGTACCAAGGGCATTTTGCTTTAATAGGAAGATATCTCTGATATACATGAATATTCTCACTTTAAAAATTAAAATTCATAAGCAATTTGATGTGCAATTTTATTTGTGAAATTGTCTTACAGATATTTTCTGAATTTCTGGCAATTTCAAGAGTTGAGTTCTCTTTAAGATCTGTAAAACCAGGAATTGCTGTAAGTCATATAAAAGTCACAAGGCTATCTTCAAAGGTAGGGATGAGTCACATTATATGTGCTTATTGAAAATGCTATCAAACCAATAATCAGAAATACTTAAGAAAAGAAACCAAGATAAAGGCAAAATACGGTACCAATATTCAGCTAGCTTTTCTGATGTTAAGGTTGTATGCAAGGTAAACCTCTAAAACTTAATCCTATAATTAGTGGCTTAACTCAAACAACAAAAAGTTTGGATCTATGAAATATGAGATAAAGGAAAAACCCTGTATGTATGTAAAGTTTTTATTATTAATATTCAGTCCCAAGCAGCTAGAAATAAGTGACCCCTTGAAGTGCCCTCTCTTTTTAGAAACACACACAGGACTCTTTTTATATTACTATTATACTGATTCACAGAATATTTTATATTAGAACTGTCCTTTTGTGATAATTATTTCAGGATGAACAACAAAGACCTAAAGCAGCCAAAGGTCTTGTGGATAATTTAAAGGGTGGAAATGAAATCCATATAAAGTTTTACAACATAATGCATTTTAAAATAGCACTCCATAAAGATGTAAATCAATTAGCTCTTGGAAAGTTACTCAGGGCTGTGTTCTTCCACAACTCAGGCACACACCCATCATTCTGACTTGCTCAACATTCTTGGCAACTCATTGCCTCAAACATTTCCAAGCTACAGAGGATTGAATCCTGAGGTTCCCAGTTCATCCCACTTCTCATGAAGGAAGGCAAAACAAAGGCCCAGGGCTGGGAACCCTCCTCCAGGTCAGTAGGATTTGTACTACCGGGCTCCAATCCCACATTCCCAAGCCACTTTTATTGGTGGACAAAGTAGGCTGTTGTTTTTCACTTCGGGGTTCACGTATTAATCAATCTCGAATTTGTAAGAAAAGTGTATTGGAGGAGTGATACAAAATGTAAAAGGTGGAAGTATTAAAACAGTATGAAGTTTGAGCCCAACTGGGGCTGTCTGTCACATCATGTCTTCAAGGCTCGTTCCTGGACTCACGCTCCCTTCCCATCGATACGTTTGGCCTTGGAAACCTCATCCTCCTTAGATAGCTCTGTTACTGCAGCACAGTGTGAAAATGACTTTCAAACCTAAGTCTCGAAGCCCCAGAACTGAACACCTAGCCGCAGAGTGGACGTTGCCACCTTGGATTTTACTCAGTGTGTCCTATGCTGACCCCAACGTCCTCCCTTCAAACCTGCTGTCCCTCTGGGTTCCCCATCTCCAATAATGAGAAGGGGCTCAGATCTAAACACTGTTCCTTCCCACTGTTCTCACCACCCACTTCAAATGATCACCCAAAGAACTACAACGGTACCTACCACTGAGTATCTCTAATTTATATAATCTAAAGAAAAATATGAATTTAGAAATACCTACGGAAGAACATCCATTGTAATATATTTCCTTCCAGTTTTAATTTTTTCTAGGTTTCTGACACGATTGAGACCTAATTCTGTCTGTATAATTGGGATCAAACCTTTGTATTTTATATACTTTTTAAAGTGAACATTATAAAATGAGCATTCTAAAATATATTGGAAACTTTAAAAAAAAAACCATTGTATCAGACCCATTATTATAGTCCATCTTATTAATACTTATATTTAAGTATCTCCAAACTACTGGATTATTTCCCTTTTCCCAAATATTTGCTATAAAACACCTTCCCCATCACAATCTTTGTTCATATCTCTTTGTCCCTCAGGATAAATTTTTAGAATTTATTTGAAAAGTTTATATATTTTATAGGCTATAGCCACATACTACTAGGATGTCTTCTAGAATGGTTTTGCCAATTTACTTTCCTACTAACAGTTTAGATATTATTTCAAAACCTCACCATCCTAAAAAGTAAATATTTGGATCTCATCTTATAGATGAGGAAACTGGCGTGCAGAGTAGTTCTATCTTACCCAGATCAATGGTGTTGGCACTGAGTTCAGAACCAGCAGCCGGTGGATCCCAAGTCTGTTCTTCTCACCGGACAGGCTGCTTCCCCATTCTTTATAATTTCACACAAATGCACACAATACACACACACTCTCTCTCGTCCCTGTTTCTTCTCACTGACTCCCCTGGTTTAGGATGTGAAACTCAGCCCTTTAAGGAATACACCTTGATTAGGCATTCACTAATAAGCCAAGCTCTGAGTCAAACATTAGGGAGAATTGGCAACATAAATAATCCTATTTTTAACCCACCACTACCTCCCTCTACATACAGAATAAAGTCTGGGCTCCTCAACACAGCATTCGAAGGCATCCTCAGCACCACCCCGCTGCCCCTCTGCGGGGTCTCAGTCCTGGCTATGCATCAGAAGCGCTGGCAGTACTTTTGAAAAGTGGAAATGGCCAGGCCCCAGCCTCACAGGTGGAGTCGGGGTACCTGTGTTTTGAACGTTCCACAGCGAAGGGAGAGATCATCTCTGCCTGAACCGTGCCAAGCCCGCTCCACTCCCTGTGACTCCCTGCCTTTGCCTAAGCCTTTAATTCAATCCAGAACTTGCTTTCTCCTTGAAAGGGCCAGTTATTAAAGGCCCAGATGAACGATCCCAGGCTTCACAGACGCCAGCCCAACCACCTCCCTGTTTCCATCTGTGGCCAGGCATTTACTTAAAACACTTAAATCCATTCCACTTACAAATATCTACTCAAGGCAATCTCTACCACAGTTTAAGTTCTTAGAAGGCAAGGGCTGTGTCTTGTTCATCTTCATATCCCCCCGAGGTGCACTCGGGAGATCTTCCCACGCTCTAAGCACTCAATTAATGTCTGCAGAACAGAAATGCTTTTCAAATCAATTGCTGAAGATTTCCAACCGAACTGACCCGTCACTCTTCTTTTAGGGCCAGCCGATGTTGGCGGTGACCCATCCACTGGCACTCTGGGACGCACTAACCACCATTGTCATAAATTCCCAAAATGTGGTGTGGTTTCCATGTTCACCATATTACAAGACCACATCATCTTCATATTTAAATCTCCAGGACCCCTAAACAGTTTACCGGGAATAAGCTTGGGGTATATTTCTCTAGTGCTAAAGTAGTTAGGACCTGACACCGGGTATACTGTTTTACTGAAAAATATTTTGTCCATGGGAATTCCATTATCCTTTGCAAAGAAACCAAAAAATAGATCTCCTGCATATAGTGCCTATTATTGACAATGACCAATTCAATTAAAAAAATTATCTTGTGACCCAAATCTTTAGAAATATATTATTTAGTTAACATATATTTAGCTTCTCAGAAACAAGTATGATAGTATCGGATAAAACAAATCTTTCTTTTTTGGAAAATATCCCTGATATTTCTCTAAGTCAGGAGTTAAATCTTAAGCAGTATCAAATCTGTACTTCTATCATATTTCTGTTTTCTAAGAATTATACCAAAAATCCCCATATGAATGTCATGAAGGGTAAGTAAATTTCATTAAGGAGTAGCAAAAGGAGGAAATGATCTCAATCTCTCCAGAACTGTGACTCTTACTTATGGCTCTTGTGAGAAATTCTCTTTTTTTGGTGGCTAGACTGAACCCAAGCGGTGCGTACAAATATTTTTAAAGGTGAGATAACATACTCAATAAATTAGTACACATTATTCACACATGAACCCTGGGCCAAGGAAAGACAGCATACCTGTTGGGATCTTGCAGCAAATCTACTGCTTCTCTCAGTTGTTCAATCATCACTATATCCATGTCCTGGTCTTTGGATGAACTTATTCTGTAGCATGAACCGGGCATAAGAATGAAAATGATTACTGGAACGTGGATATTATCCAGATTCTTAAGAGCAAACGTATAAAAATCCATCTAATATATAAAAATGATTTTGACAAGCTCAACATGATAATGAACAGGTGTCAGTTCCCTGTGGAGTGGATTGCCAGAGGGCAGCTGAGGTGGGGCTACTGGGGGAGGGGATAAGTCCAGCTCTGCTATAAAATAGCAGCTCACACAAAGTCTCGATGCCCACGGGTTTGCATCTGCTCCTCTATAAAATCAAGGCAACGGACGGGCTGGGTGGTTCTCACACTGTGCTTTCATGAGCCCCGGGGGCGGGGTGGGGGTGGGGGTTGCACAGGGGTGCCCAGCTGCAGCAGGTCTGCACGACTTCTGGCTCTTCCCGCTCCAGAGCAACCAATGTGGCTCGGTTTTATTGCTTTCATACAATATGGGACTTCACTGGGGGATAGCGGTTCTCAGTGCAGGTTCTTTATGCAGCAAAATCATCTGTGGCACTTAAAATAAAAAATGCCAAGCCAGATACTGGGGCTTGGGCTTTTTATTAAGCTCTACAGGCAAGGTTGAGAACAACAGGTATAAGATTATGAATGGGGTTTCCAAAGCTTTATAGACAGATGGCCCTTGAACGACACAGGCTCAAATTGCACGGGTCCACTTATACACAGGTTTTTTTTGTTTTTTTGTTTTTTTCAACAAATATATTGGAAAATTTTTTAGAGATTTGTAACAATTTGAAAAAATTCACAGATGAACTGCATAGCCTAGAAGTACTGAAAAAGTCAGGGGAAAATCAGTTATTATTGTAAGAATATAGTATATAATACACATACAAAATATGTTAATCGACTGTTTATGTTATTGGTAAGTCTTCTGGTCAACAGTAGGTTATTAGTAGTTAAGTTTGGGGGGATTAAAAATTATAGGCAGATTTTTGACGGCGCCCAACCCCTGCATTGTTCAAGGGTCAGCTATAGTTTAAAAAAACACTCTCCCTGGGCGCCTGGGTGACTCAGATGGTTAAGCGTCTGCCTTCGGCTCAGGTCATGATCTCAGGGTCCTGGGATTGAGTCCCGCATCGGGCTCCCTGCTCCTTGGGAGCCTGCTTCTCCCTCTGCCTCTCTCTCTCTGTCTCTAATGAATAAATAAATAAAATCTTTAAAAAAAAAAACCACTCTCCCTATAAAATCTCTTTCCCCATAATTCTATGATTCTGTAATCAAACTAGTCCTCCTTGACATTACAGAAATATATTCAATGAATAGCTGATAATACTGGACAGTGATTTGAAAGGAACTTAGCAATGTTTTTAAAGGTCAGAAAAGATCTGATCATGGTTACTGCTTTCCACTACAGAACATGAGTCAATGTGTTTCTCTAAATGGAGAAACTTTTTTTATATATATATATTTATTTATTCATTAGCGACAGAGAGAGAGAGAGAGAGAGGTAGAGGGAGAAGCAGGCTCCCAAGGAGCAGGGAGCCCGATTCAGGACTCAATCCCAGGACCCTGAGATCATGACCTGAGCCAAAGGCAGACGCTTAACCATCTGAGCCACCCAGGCGCCCATAAGTGGAGAAACTTTTTAACAATATAGTAAATCCTCACTCAGGGGAAATCCCTCCCAAGGTATGAAGGAAGATCCAGGCCTACATGACAGATCATGGAAAACAAAATCCTGGGAACCAAAAATCTACTGTATGCCACATGGTTCAAGCTCAATTCCCCTGGAAATCATTCATCATCTGATGGATGACTCATGCCCTCCCCTGTAAAGCTGGCCAAGGAAATCCTCAGATGCAATCGAGTTGAAGGGCTATCTCTATCTGATGTGAGATTCCTTGGGTTCAATCCCAGCCCTCTGGGACCTTAGGACAGTCTCTCTGTGCCTCAGTTTTGTCCCATGTGAAACGAGGGATAACAATAGAACTTATCTCATAGGATTGTTGTAAAGATGACATGAGTTACTACCTGTGAAGTATTTAGGACAGTGCCTAGCACATGGCATTTAATAAATGTTATCTATTACAACTGTTAGACATGGGACCAAGACGTGAGAGGCATATGGTTTTCTCAGATCTTGAACCTGAAGACAGTTCAAGGTAAAGCGTGACTGGGACTATATATTGCTCTGGGTCCAGTTGTTGGTTTCTTCAGACAAATGGAAGTAAGCTAGAATCTCCAGTGTAGGAATTTTATCTAATTTCCTGAATCACATTCTATCCACAGCCTCCAGTCAGATAAAACTCTAGGCCAAGGAAGAGGTCTGACCTTGTACTGTGACAATAAGCATCTGACAGAGAAAAACTTGCAACTTATTGATATAACATTAGGCGAGACTATCAGCTTGCCCAAAGAAAAGCAGACCAAAATTCTATCATGACAGGGCTGCCTTCTGCTTGAACCATGAACTTTACAGGATGGTGGCTCATAACCAGGCCCTGGGTACTCACATTCCCTCAGGTTGCCAGTGTGTGTCCTCTTCTATCCGTAACAGTTCTTCACAGTCCTCAGCCCTATCCTGTGGACAGAACACACGGGTCTTCTGAGAGCCACTGGCTATCAACAGTCCACAGTCAAACCCTGCCCTTAGGCCACGTTCACACTAGCATTACTCTCAACAGCCAAAAGGTGGGAACAATCCAAGTGTCCATCTACAGATGAATGGTTAAACAAAATGTGATCTTTACATACAACGGAATGTCACTGAACCTTCAACAGGAAGGAAGTTCTGACACATGCTACAACAGTGAACCTGCAGGGCATTCTGCTCAGGGAAGTCAGTCAGTCACAAGAAGCCAAATACCATAAGATTCCAGCTCTGTGAGCGACCTACAGGAGTCCCTCATAGAGACAGAAAGCAAAATGGTGGCTCCCAGGGGTGAGGGGAGGAGGGAATGGGAAATTAAAGTTGAACGGGTACAGTGTTTCCGTTTGACAAGATGAAGAGTCCTGGAGACAGACGGTGGTGATGCTGGCACAACGTGTGAATGTACTCACCACTGAACTGCACACTTAAATATGACAAAAACGGTAAGTTTTACATTACACGTATTTTACCACAATTAAAAATAAAATTAAATTTAAAAAAAGAACAAAAAAAAAAAAAAAAAAAGACCTGACCCAGGACCACAGTACCTGTTAACTTAAGAATCAGAAATGTAAAGTTCTATTTCTTATTGCCCTCTTAGCACCTCCTCACGTTCAGATTCCTCTGTTAGTTGGGCTCGTCGTTCACATGAGGAAGCGCGTTCTACTGTTTGTGAGAGGAGGCGGGTGTGTGTGTGTGTGTGTGTACGTGTGTGTATCCTTGAGGAAAAAGAAAGTGTAAAATAATGAACACAGAAAATGCCTCCAGTTTCACGCATACCGCACCCAGATCTCACTGAAATGTGCCCCCCCCGCACATGCACCGTTATTTTCCCAGATGAACGTTGTGACGGGCTTAGTTAGCACAGTGCATCCCACTGCTAAGACTTCCATGTGCTTCTTGTCCACTGTCAGCTCTGACACAGAGCCATGCTGCCTTAACTCAGCCTACAGCCAGAAAAGAAGCCACCCCTGAAGGGCAGTACATTCCTCAGGCAAGGAAGGAACAACAGACAGACCCAAGGACTGTCTCAGACCCAGCCCATTCTCCAGATACATCATTGAGAAAAGTCTTCTTCTGAGGAGGTGCCTAGCACTGGATGCCAGCCTCTGGCTTAAAAAACACTCAGACTTTTATCAATTATAGATATAGTGCCTAGTAAAGTAAACACAAAATTATTGTGTCACTATCCAAATAAGAGTGAAATTCATGGGTGAAAATATGCTACCAGAAATGAGCAAGAAGACATGTTCTAATCTCTCTTTGTTGGGTTTCAACTACAGGAGCCAAGGGTATTTCCTTCTAATTTTCAGTTTCATAATAAAAGAATAGCCAATAGTGTAAAACACCACTTTTTTTCCAATATGCAAAACAGGGCTGACCGATTCCTTTTGCTAAGTTACAGGGTTGTACAGTTCATCCTCATTATTTGTGGGTTCCATTTTTATGAATTTACCTACTCACTAAAATTCATTTGTGAATGAATCAATAAATCAATACTCGTGGGGATTCTCCAGAGCGGTGAAAACCTTGAGTCCACAATATGTGTGTGTTCCCAGCTGAGGCTGAACAAAGCAACGCTCTGCCCTCTCATTCGGACCCAGCCCAGCAGCCATCAAAGCACCAACCTCAGGAAATAAGGACGAGCACCTGGAGCTCACACCAGCTCTACCACAGGAAGCCCGGGACCATCATTCTCATGAGCCTCAGTGAAAATGAATTTTATCCAATTATCTTTGTGATTCCTGGGGGCCACAATCTGAGCCAGAAGGACTGGCAGAAACACACCAATCATGTCTCAAAGTGGGGCCTTCACCACGAGCGTTAGCAAAGGGCTAGTTTTTCTCTATTCTTTTTTGCTGCTACTATGATGAAGGTTCAACCTGAAAACACCGTGACTTCATCCAACCTTTCAATACCTCAGTGCAAGGATAAGAGCTCAGGAATAAGTGTCCTCAGAGTGACCTTCCAAGACAGGACATTCATTTCTAGATTTTAAGAGTCTCCACTTTTCTCTTTACACTATGGACATACTCTCAAGAAAAGCATTCACCTAGAATACATGGAAAAGAACGTGAAACGGTCTATTTTAACTTTTAGTGGATGGTGATAGTGATGCTGACATGTCTGTCATGAGGGGTCTGCACTGAGAGGTGGAAAGCTAAGTAATCACTGAATATAAAGGAAATCACACACATGTACAGCAGACACACAGAGAGGTATGACAGGGACCAGCTCCTACCTTCAGAAAATAGACACCCAAGCTTTAAGAAGGTATAGAAACCGGAGGAAACTGGCAGTAAGCTGACATTTAGGTGATGGATTGGTAACCTTGAACTTAAATTCTAAGGCACCAAACAGAAGAAAATTTTTTAAAAATCAGCAGATCCTCAACTTGCCTTAATATAGGTTATAAATTCTGAACGGAGAACATCTGTTCCATCAGTAAATTGGTCTCTTTCTTCTCCTGAGTTGTCATTGTCACCCAAAAGGGAAGGCTCTGGTTGAAATTCCTGATGAGAGTCCCCTATTAGGAAAATGTAGAGAAAGACAAAAAGATGGTTTCATGAAGAGATGAGCAAAGCACAGACGGCCCTCAAATACCACTGGACTATTTTCAGTCACTGCTCCTGCCTCTTCTGGAGGTCTATGAATGACCCAACTTTTCTCTTCCCTGAAAAGTGGGATGAAAAGATTAATAAAGGAGGAAAAACAGAAAAAGAAATAGAAAGCCCCCCACCGCCATGGTGAACTGGAAAGTGAAGGCCTCTTTATGGCTTCATCCCTTAACAAAGAAATGAAATCTCCTATAACTTTTTTAAGAAACAGAGGAAAGCACGTTTGAAAGAGGCAAAAGGAACACCAAGCAGATCTCTTCTCCATGATCTGCAAACTGAAAAGAACCAAGGAGGGCCACCTTTAAGGACTCCTATCCAGCAGAATACTCACTTCTAGAACAGAGAGGAAAAAACTCACCGGTGACAAATTATGTAATTCTTTTATTTTAAAAATTTGCCTAAGACACTACCTCCTATACTGTATAATGTCACACAGCTTATCTAAGCTAATAAAATGGCCGTTTTATTTTTGCATAGAGTATACAGTGATTTTTTTTTTGGACAATGTATGGTTCCAGTCATAACCTCACATACATGTAAATGCTGAATTTAAAAACCTGAAGGTAAAAAGTGAAAGCAAACACTAGACATTGAGTTGGTTCACACAGCTCTCCCATCACTAATGTGAGCATTTTTAAACTATTAGGGAGATAATCTGTATATTAACCTAGTTCTACACTGTTCATATATCATGAAATCATCTCTGCCACAAATCATTAAACACAAATCATTCACACTAAATGAAATCATCTCTGCCACAAATCATTAAATTTTAGTATTTTCTTTAAAAATCATTGAATAAACAGGAGCAGTAAAAAAAAAAAAAATACTGCCCTAATGTAATCAAATGAGGGCTTCTCACTAAGACATGAAATATATTGCTAGGATTTTCAAGGTATATAGGACATAGAGTACTTAGTGATCACTTGGTGACTGTTAGAGAACCACAGAATTTGAGAGCTACTGAAGACCTTACATATTACCTAATCTAATCACCTCACTTACAGGTGAGAAAATTAAGGTCAACCGTCTTGTCCAAAGTCAAGTGGATTCCTGGGCACACATCTCAACTACATTTCCCATCTTCACACGTGACCATGTATCCAAGCCTACCTTATAAGCGATGGGCACTCCTAGGCTCAGTTCACTAAAAACCTCCTGTGAGCAAGCCTCCATGCTTGGCCGGCTTCTGCCGTAAAACAGGACTTGGGAACTTTGGAAATCTTGTGTTAAAGATGGTGGAGTCACAGCATGAAAGCAGCTTAGGCCTTCGAATCACTGCTTGGAGGGGAGCTGCCTGTCAATCATGAACTCCCATGCAGACTTGATCTGGACTATGTTAAGCCAATGAGATCCGGGGTTTTATGTGCCCCAATAACTGGTGTTGCCTAATGTATCTATACATCAATATTTGCTTTCCAAGGATGGATTTACAGGCTGGCATACAAATCTTCAAAATGAGAACCACTCTACTACTCACTAGCTGTGTGATCACTGGCAAGTTACTTAAACTCCTTGAGCCTTGGTTTACTCACCTGTAAAATGGAGATGATTAGAATATCCATCTCAGAGTTCTGAACTTTAAATGAGATCACCTTCACAGATTAGCACAGAGCCTGGTGCACAGGAAATGCTCAATAAACTTTCGCTATTACCAAGGCCCTATTTGTGTCCATTGTAAACACAATATTTGAAACTTAAAACAAGCACGTTCTCCCCATCTTTCATTCTCACACCTTTAACTGGGCTAAGGCGATGGCAGGAGTCCTCCTTGACGATCTGTTCTTCTTCCATGATGTTCGACATCGGCACATTGAGGCTAACAGCGTCTTCATCAGAAGGCTGAAAAGAAACAGTGCACTGCTTCATTCGCGGGACAAGCATTATCGATGTAGATTAAGAGAAAGCTACGTGATAAAAAAAATACTGCTAATTCTCAAAAACATAATATTGAGTAAAAGGAACGAGATACAAAGAACAATTCCACTTACATAAGTTCAAAAACCGGCAAAACTAATCTGTGGTATTTGGCGTCAGGACAGTGACTACTCTTGGCTTGGAGGCTGGATGTGTGAGTGGGCTTTCTGGGGTGCTCGTAAAGCTCTGTTTCTTGTACTGGCCATTGGCAATGTGGGTGTGTTCCACTTTGTCAAAATTCACTGAGCTAACACTCAAGTGTTTCTCTGTACATATGTTTTGAGCTGAAATTTTGTCAGGTACCTGATGGCATTTCCAACCTAAGAGCAACAGTCAAAGCACTAAGAAGGACTATGTTATACCTGACGGAACAAAGGAGTAACTAAATATACAATCACACTAGCCCTGAGACTGACTGATCAATCCTTGTCACAGTAACGGTACTCTGAGACCTGACGACAACACCAATTTCCCAAAACTACATTAAGGTTTCATGGGGCTAGTCACCAAAAGCAGGCAGTATCTGTGACAATATCTCATTTATTCATAGTGCATCTTATGTGCAACATGAAGCTCCGGTTTATTTCCCTGTGTGAGACTGAGGAATCTATAGGCATTTCGGTTGCATCAAATACATAAAAGTGCTGAATGACCGTAGTGCTTAAAAGGACATGTGTTCTGTGCAATTTTCAGAATAAGGCTTCGATTTGGTAATCAAAGTCAGTTGTCTCTGGGGGGCTTGTTTCCCACACTAGCTAATGAAGTTTATTCAGACAATCTACGATTCTCTGACTGATGAAATATGGAGCCTCATTTACTTTTCTATGTCTCCATTTTCGTGTGGCTATTTAGTGAAGAGCTTTCCAAATCACAGGGATCATGAACCTCCACAGAACACATCTCAGCGACTCCTGGGCTGCTCCTAAATTCCTGAAGCCGTGACTTTCAGAGTTCAGTGTTCATTTACCTTTGGACACGTGCACAAATTGTTTAGAAACTGACACAAAACAAGTGTGCATTTCATCCATTCAACAGATACTCATTCGGATTCGGCCGCCAATTTTTTTTTGCATGTTTATCTTGACAAAAATATGTTTTAAACTTCTTAGAGACAAATGCTAAATCAATCAGACAAGGGCAACAGCCAAAGAAAGGGAATGAGATGTGCTTTCTGAATGCCACAATGAAACAGAAGTGGGGAGCAAGAGAAACTGACCATAGATGGTAACGAATTTGCCAGACAAAGTGAAAATAGAAAGCTACACTGGATAACTCAAGGCCCTTTTCCTTCTAAAACACAAATTGCTTGGAGGTGTTCTCAGGTAACGAGGCTACAATGTGAGACCAAAAAAAGGCCAAAGGGAAGAAGCATGCACTGATTCTGTCGAATATAACCCTTTTTCTAGTCCTTCCTGCCACCTTCCTCCCATCTTAAAAACTTAGCAAAATTCCAAAGATATGCATCTAGTTAAAAGGGAGGAAATAAACCCTTGGCCTCCTTTTGGAATGGTATTAGCATGCTACTTGTATTAAGTGAGAACAAAAGGATAATGAAGTTCTTTGTGTGATGTTTTATTAATGAACTTAATTATCCTTAAAAAACAGATAAAGGATAAAGCAGAGTCTGTTTTAATTTCATAGAAAATAAGCTTAGGGTGAGTAATTTCTGAAATAATGGGACATTTCAGGGGACTTAGGAGTTTTAATAAAGCTAAGGGGGCTGAATTAAATACAACTTATAAAGCAATGTGTTGAGTATTTTCTCCCCCAGGGAGCTACAGTAAACTATTCATGTGGCTTCATGAGAGTAATTTTCTTTTATTGAAATTGGCCTTCTCTTTCTGCCTACAAACTCCTTTTGAAATGTTCTGTATTAGAAAGATTTTAAGGTATCCTAACTTTTTAATACATTGCTTTATAAAGCATTTCGTAGGAAATAAATGCAAATATCTTAGCTACATATTAACCCTCAAAGACCTGAAGAGAACAGGGAAAAGGCATCTTTCTTGGAGTCACACACCGTACAAATGTGAACTCCTTAATTGGGGTAATTGACTTATTAATTACATCTTCAAAGAGTAGTATAATGTTTCAAAACTCAATACTTACAAAAACTCAATAAATTTCCTTAGAAGAGAAGACCTGATGATTCATCTATCCCTTACCCCAGCTATCCCTTCCAGCTCCCCTGCTCAAGAAACCCCATTTAATAGTATAGTAGTGAAAGGTTTTGGGGACTGTAACTATAAGTGACATAAATATACTAAATGAGCTATTTATAACCACTTCAGGAAGCTCTAGTGTGGGAGGCCTCTTAGCTTACAAATAACCCAAATTTATCCAGTTGTCTGAAAAGAACACAATCGAAGAGTTTCAGGAAAACAAATACTGCTATAAAAATTATGGCTACTTAAAATGGCATTTCCTGTGGGTAAACTGCTAAAATGCAATGCACATTTGCGTCCTGAACATTTATGCATGCGAATAACTTTTTTCCTAAATTATTCTGTCACTTAGAAACAAACACATTTATAGAAATGCCTCATGGGCACCTGCACACCACTCTTCGTCATTTCATATTTATGAAACATTCAAGAATATTCTAGGTAACGTGAGGAGTGTGGTGGAAGGGGAATAGGGATGTTTACAAAATATTAAATATGCAGCAAAAGCTAAAAACTTGGAGGATTTCAAATTGCTTTCACGAACATAATCACACATTCTCACACAGATGCATTAATGCCCTTTACCACAGAGGAGTTCAGGAATGCAGGCAGATATATCTAGCACAGAAAGAAAAAAAAAACTAATCACAAACTTTACCTCTGTGGCAGATAAACGTTTATCTCCATTATCACTTCCGACACCCGAATCAGAATCCTTCTTGCTGGGATAGATGCCAACAGTACGGAATCCATTTAGAAAAAATTGAAATCACAAAGTTCACAACAAGATACATCAATTTCGAATAATGACTTTTGCTATACAAATTTTATTATTACCATAAGGCAACAAATCAGCCCAAAATTAAAGGAGGTGGAGACAAGGGCCTAATAATCAGATATTCTTTCTAAACAGAGGACAAGATAAATTCTTTGTGTTCAGGGTTACTCTAACCAAGTAGCCTGTTCTTTGAAACAGTTAACAATTTTCTTATCTTATGGATTCTAGTGTCTAAAAAACCAAAAACTGCCTAATTGCTTTTACCTTTTCTAAGAGGCTTTTACTCTTATGTGGTTACTCTCAGTAATTCTGTAAGCTTTTATCCAGTGACTAAACAAATTTGATGTTTATAAAAATAAAATAATGAATACATATTTTAAGTATTATATAAAAGGTACCATTAGAGTAGGCTGAGATTTTAAGTCACCATGTTTTTTAGTAAAAAGTGAAGCAAAGGTCTCTGCAGTGAAGACCCCTCAAAACAATCTGTGTTCAGTGGGGAATTTTGTTCTTTGAAAATTCAAGGCCCAATTTATGCCACAGAAAGGCCAAGGGCATGTGAAAGGATTCTAACACTTCCAAAAAGGAAATGGCACAAACTATGCACGCTGCATTTTTAAGACAATTACAAAACAAAACCTGCAGTTTTTCTTAACAATGTTCTGGAGGCAGATTAAAAATTAATAATTAAAAAGACATGCCTGAGATTGATACGGTTGTTTTAATTTAATTTAATTTAATTAATTTTAATTTAATTGACTTATTTCTGATAAGTAAAAAATACCTATATTTATATTATAGATGGCATTTATAAGGATATATATATATGCATATAACATACATGTATGTACGTATACATATCCACATGCACACACAGCACACACAGTACCCAGGAAAGACTGATTATTGACTAGAATAGGGAAGATAAGATTTGCAAGATGCCAAAAGGTTATCAACAGCACCTATTTTCTCTCTCTTATTCCAAAATGCTGAAACACTTGAGGTATAAATCTGCATTGGTTAAGTGAGGCAAAGGGATTTTTGGAGTTACCTACCTGGAGGCCCCAGCCTCAGCAAATTCTAAACCGGGGCTTTGAGTGACTTCAGTCACACTCACCTATCTTCCACGTGCTGGTGGAAATGTGGCCTCTCCATCGTGTGGAGATCAAGGGAGTCAGCTGTCTTAATCTGACATGCTTGTATGCTCAGATACTTGAATATGTGCACTTTGCCCTTTGTGCAAATCTATGGAGAAATTAATAATACATATTTGGTTTTCAATGACAAAACAAAATGTAAACACTTGACATGGAGGCTCTGTATATTTAATTTTTGCATTTTCATTTTAAGTAACACTTCAAAAATACACGCCAAATTTGACCTCTCCAAAACACATGAGAATTTAGGCAATCATTTCTTCCAAATTCTACTTTGAATAGAAAACCATCCTAACAGAAATGTGTCTAAGTCTAAATAGTGTAAAAAAGTAGAGAAGTCAGATACCTGACATGGTAACTTTCCAATTCTAGAAGGATTGATTTTGTTCCCACACAATTTAACAGCTGAACTTGTAACTTATCTCTAAATAACCAACAATCATATGTGAAAATGTTTAAACTCCATTTCTCAGCTCACATGAAAGTACGGAATATATTACTCCTTTGATAAGCCGTACACTCCATGAAGGCGTTTCCAATGTGTGTACAAATGCTAACCTAATCAAACATATAATCCTAGGATTAGAGTGATCAAGACAGTGAGTGGAACGCTGGTGAACGGACTGGACGTGGCAGAAGACAACTGATGGTAGTCGGATTCACCCAAGGTTTCATCTTTCGGAGATTGTGATCATGTCTAAAACAATATTAATTCAGCAGAATATCAAAGGCCCAGCTCTGCTGAGAGTTTCCCATGCAGGACTGATAGCACATCCCATGGTGAAAGAGCTTCGCTGCCATCCCTCACCTGTGCCGGAGGAGACTGCAAAGGGTTGTTCTCAAGTAGTAATACTTGCAGCTGTTTCATCTGTCTAAAACAAATGGGAATCACGAGCACTTTATTGCAGGAAAAGTCAAACTTTACCAAGGGAAGATCTACTAGTTCTAAAGAACAGGGGGGGAAAAAAAAAAAGAAAAAGAACAAATTCAGAAAGCAATAAGATTAAATGGCTAAACATTCAAACACTAATTCTCTGCTTACCAGGAAAAATATCAGCATAATCAAAGCAAGGTATGCCTCAGGAATATGTGGTATGCGTATAAAATATTTTACTAAAGGGGAGGGGGAGATCTTTCATGGAGAGCGCAATAATTTTAAATTGTTGTTAGTTCTGGTAAGAGCTAGAAACACACTTGACATTTACAGTATCTGTTGTTTAGAAAAGCCTTTCTTCCAGCAAAACGATTACATAAGCCATACCACACAGGGTTAGGTTTCATAGGACATGTTTATGTTTTAACTTCAATTGTGAGCTTATGAACAATGTGCTAATCATAAAATATTCTTATCTAGTCAACGTATCTGGGCTGGCATAATCTCAGAACTAGTTACAAGAAATTATGTTCATGGTTTTTTAATTCCACTTTTTAAAAACTAAATGCTATCTAATTCAGAATTTTGCAGTGGACCCTGTAATCCTGATTTGATGAGGCTCAATTCTACTGCTTTTAAAAAAGTCTTCTGTAGCTCCACAAACAAGACAGAACATTATATTTAGCTTAAAATCCCCACCCAGTGGCATAGTAAACGCTCAGTAATTTCAAGCACTCCAACTGACACTGGCAGCTACAAGGAACGAAGTCAAATATATTCCATAGAGCAAAGAGGCTGAGGGACACCAGACATGTAGAGGGACACGGGGCAAACCGGCAAACTGCTAAGATCTCTGCGTGAGACACTCTGGCGGGTTCATGTCAGAAGGGGCCTCATCATGTTTATTACAGGACTTGGTAAGGGGTGAAATACAGTGCTTTCAAAGACGCAAGAAGTTCCAAAGTGGAGGATAGGCAGGCACTATATAAAGTGACCTGCAGTGAGAATTAACCCAATTCCTTCTCCCCCCCTAGTATGCCCTAGGGTTTTCACCTGACTCAGCTATGCTACTTCAAGTTCCACAAATAAAGATGCTCTTAGCAACCAGTATCTCTTCTCCTATTCACCTGGCTCTGGGCCTCTGGGTGTGTAAGGGACTTTCCTTCTTTCATGCTTTAGTGAATTACGTTGTATTTAAAAAATAGAGTCAAGTTGACTCAAGTGCTAGAAGAAAAGCAGAAGAGCATCCAACTCCGCAGGTCCCAAGCTCAGCTCTCTGGGTCAATTGCCCTGAGTAATTTGCTGCCCAAACCCAGTCCCCAACCCCTACCCCCAACAGCGGGGTGAATGATTTGCCTCACACCCTACTCATCCTGGAGGTTGCCTTGATGATGCCTTGCTGTGAGCAGCAGAAGGTGAAGGAGAGAGGGAGGAAAAGAACCTGGAGGACAGCAAAACAAGAAAATCAAAGGAAAAGGGAAAGTAAGATCCCTTTCACTTCGTAGTTTATTTCTAAAACAGGGCTAAGGCTTAGAGGGATTTATATACGAGACAAATATCTCCTTGCTGTAACCCTTAGTGATATTAATCCATCTCTGAGACTGTTAATTTTACTCACTAAACTTAGGTTGGCAAATTAGTGGCAAAATCTAACTGGAGTCTGGATCTTCAGCAAGTCTTTGCCGCTGAAAGTGAAGACTTTTAAGCAAGACTGAGGGCCAAGTTCCTGGCAGCCGTAGCAGGAAGGGGAGAAGAGGCAACTTAAATAAATAAGGTAAATAAAGTAAGAATGATTTTTATAATGACTGTTCCTGTTAACTGCAGTTTGGAACACAACTACCATCTTAGTTTAGGAAAACAAGAGCCTGGCAGTTTCCTAACAAGAAAATGGGGGTGGGGGTGAGGGGTGATGATAACTCCAGCCCAGAAATGGTCAAAAGAAACCGGGCAGGAAAAGGGAGGAAGAAAAAAAAAATCCCAAGGAATCTTCTGTTGCAAAGAAGGTCAATGACTGGCTCCTTTAATCTTAACTCTGTCCATTCTGGTCCTAGAAAAAACAAAATATGGTCTCCTCATTGCAGTATTTGTAGAAAAAGCACCACAAAATTGATATGGGTAATTAGGCCACAGACTTGTTTTCCCTCCTCAGATTGAAAGCATACGGGGAGGGGTACTCACAGAGGAAAAACAAGTCAATATGGAAAATCTTTAAATTCACTGCCTGAAAGCACTATCAATGCTCTTTTGTTAATAGAGTTCTCCAGAGTGAAGCAAAAAAGAAACTTGATATTCAGGAAGTTATAAAAAAAAAAAGGAAAAAAAAGATTTTTCCAGTAAACTGAAGTTTTAGCTTTGAATATATTTTAAAATATTAAACCTGAGAAAACACAATTATGAAAAGGATAGAAATGTATAACTGATCTTTTCAAGGGAAAGGAATGCTCTTAAGGTAAGAGCATAGAGAGTGCTGAGAGAAAGAAAAACCTTGGTTTGCAGACACACTGTTTACACGTTTCTAGACTATTACAGGCAACCGTGAAATGACTCTCTTACATTTTTCTTTTGAAAATGAGAGTCTGATGTTCTGTAATGATTTTTCAATGATTAGCATGAGAGCTACATTTAGAGGCCAGTTTTCTTTAATGCCACAAAAGGTTAAATGCTTAGAAATGTGCTGTTGGTAAGAGTGTTTCCCCTCTGCACTTGCTCCAACCAAGAAAAACAATTTCATCCATTCAAAATGGATTAGACAATGACAGAATGAAAAATATCATGTTTTCATACCAAGTTATCTCAAGCAATAAAGTAGTACATCCTTGCGCTGAGACAGTTTCTAATTCTACTTCTTTAAAATGCTGGTCAGTGCAAGAAAGGTGACAGATGGCAGGTAGGCATTCAAACCTCCCATCTATAAAGCACATTGCATTTTATAAAGTTCTTTCCCTTCCATGAGCTTCATCTGCCTGCCTTCAAACCAAAGATCAAGATGCAGGAACTGAATAATAAAAATCAGGCAGTTCTCAACTAGCTGCAGTTGTGTCAGATTAACCAAATGCTTTTGTTTTTGTTTCCAAATATATGCTTTTGCTTTGAGGTATATTTTTAATTATGTATTTGAAATCCAGTATGCCTCATGGCCTTAAATGAAACTGATGGAAATCAATGCGATCTTTGAAAACCAGAGTACGTTTTGGGGGAAGCATTCAGTATTCTGCTCATCAGCTCATTCTGATTCAAGTCCAAATAACAATCCCAAAATAGGAAATTCAGATCCACCATTATCTACAAAGCTGCTTATCAAAGTTCTTAATGGTGCACACTTTCTGAAGAAATGTATCTTTTTATTTGAACTCAAGAGTCGATGTCTCAGAGGGACATACTGTAGAAGCTCACAGGTGCAGGGAAGGGTCTGCCTGAGTCTGGCTCCTGAGCAGGGATGTCTGAGAGGGCAACCAGTCTCAGCGCTGAGGTTCTGGAGGATCCTTGCTTCTGGCCTTTGGGAGACTCACCAAAACTACCAGTGACATTAGTCCAAGTACCACCTCAGCAGGGGTAGAATCCTCACCTGAAGCATGTATTATAGACACGAGGGGTGGTTCCCAACTAGGGCGACCAGATGCTCAAAGCCAGAAATCTTAACAGCTGGATCTATAACACCAAGCACATCGCCTAAAGTGTTGGCTCGACATTCCAAAACATCACACATACACACCAAAAACAACTCATGTTGCCTCCTGTTACGAGCTGAATCGTGTGTCCCCAAATTTCCTATGTTGGAGTCCTAACTCCCGGTACCTCAGAATGTGACTGTATCTGGAGATAAGGCCTTTAAAGGGGTCATTAAGTTAACATGAGGTCATTTGAGTGGGCCCTAGCCCAATATGACTGGTGTCCTTATAAGAAGAGATTAGGACAGAGACACAGAAGGAGGATGATGTGAGGACACAGGGAGAAGAGAGCCATCTGTATGCCGAGGACCAAAGCCTCAGAAGACACCTTGATCTTAGACTTCCTGCCTCCAGAATTGTGAGAAAATAAATTTCTGTGGTTTAAGTCACTCAATCTGTAATACTCTGTTACGTGAGCCTGAGCAAACTAACATACACACAGCCTCATATGGGGGAATGGCTGCATTGCTGTACTCCTCGAGACAAATTAAAAGCTGAATATTAACTTTTCTGGTATCTGCATGTGAAATTCATATAATTCATATTCATATAATTAATTAATAATTAATATCATTAGGCATACCCAAACATGACTAGACAAACTACCTTCTTCACATAAGTAAACAAACAAACAAAAAGAATAAACATCTCCTGCTTTATTCTTTTTTACCTTGTGGTAAAACTTTAAGGTAATTTCTTCTGACATTCAGTTCCCGTAGAGATTTCAACTGACCTATCTGCTGGGGCAAGGCCGTGATCTCGTTGCAGCTGACATCCTGCATCAAAGGCAAAGGCAGAAAGGATAAACACCCTTTTCCAGGAAATCAAGCATTTCATGTGAAACCTTCTTAAGGAATTTAAATATGAGGACAACTACTCAAGTACATTTTTATCTTGGTCTGTACATCCCCGGCCAAGTAAGGCTTAGCACAGAGAAGAAAAAGAAAGTGCACCATTTTGAACATCCCTTGAGGAGGAAAAAAAAGAAGAAAGGAAGGATGTCTGGAGCATTCGGGGGCTACTTTGAGGGCCTCGCGCCTGCTGCGTTCATGTGCTTCAATCTCGTAATTCTCGAACCCATGAGACAGTATTCACAGCTTAATTTTTACAGTCAGAAAAACGAGGCTCAGGGAGGTTACGTCAGGCGTCCAAGGCAGTTAACACTTGGAACGAACGCCCACCCAGTCAGGCCACTATCCCACAGTGCCTTGAAATAGAAGGTTACATATCCTACTTACCAAACACATTTTACAGTGAGAACCTACGACTATTAATGCATCTTTTGGATGCACAATTTATGTAAGATGGAGTTCTTACTGGAAGGCTGCGAATATTGTGGGCCTAAACACCTTTAAGTACATTTTATAAGCAAGACTGTGGGGCATGTGGATGATGTCTTTTTTTGCACTGAAACACTGATATCCCATTAACCGTTGATTGGAACCACCTTTTGACACATGCAAAATGAAAGCTGTGACATTTACAATGTTATTATACTCTCCCCCATCCCACTCTTCCTCCTTCTCTGGAAGCTCTGCTCTGCTCTCACCCCCCACCCCAGCTACTCTCTAGTCCAGAGCAGCATTCTCTCTCATGAGACACTATAATGGTCTCCTTGATTGGTTCCTTAGATGGGTCTGCTTCCCAGATCCATCATTCACAGAGCTGCCAGAGTGTGCATTTCACCATGTCAGTTACCAGCTTAGATATTTGCAACAGCTCCTGGGAAACCCATGGGGTAAAGGTTCCAACTCTGGGGCAGGGCCCAGAAGCCACACACAGTTCAGTTCTGCTTCTCTAGCACCATCTCTCTGAAAGCCCTCCCTTGCGTCCTCAAGCCATGTCATTACCGACTGCTGTCACCAGCGTGTGCCAAGGTGTTTCATGGTCCCAAACCTGTTCAGGCTCCTCCCTGTCTGGTATGCCATTCCCCAATATTGTCCTCTTGTCCCACCTACCTCTTTCAAGATTTAATTCAAGGCTCGCTCCTCTCTGAAACTTCGTGGAGGTTTCTCCCATTTATCGCCCTCTGAACTAACACCCAGGGAGAATGACCACTTTTCCCTCTGTGGCCCTATGCATAAACTATTACAGTATTCATATGCTCACACATTTGCCTTCTCTTATGAGCCTGTGAGCTCCCAGATGGAAGATACCGGGTCTTATCCACTCCATCTTCCTGGTGCCGAGCAGAATGCCAGGTATGAAGTAAGAGATCAATAAATATTGGATGCGGGCGCCTGGGTGGCTCAGTTGGTTAAACGACTGCCTTCAGCTCAGGTCATGATCCTGGAGTCCCTGGATTGAGTCCCGCATCGGGCTCCCTGCTCAGTGAGGAGCCTGCTTTTCCCTCTGACCCTCCCCCTTCTCATGTGCTCTCTCTCATTCTCTCTCTCTCAAATAAATAAATAAAATCTTTAAAAAATAAATAAATAAATATTGGATGAAATTTCTGAAGTCCATTCATGTTGACACTCTGATTCTGCCTCACAGCTGGAACCCCAGGATGCTCCAACATACACACCAATCCCTGGCAGGTCTTGCTTGAAATGGCAGAATCACAGATATACTTGGGCTAAGTTTGATCCCGATGAGATTGAGTCTTTAAATTCCCCACATCACTTGTGAACCTGCAAAAATTCCCCCTTTCACAAGGCAGCAGAGGAGTTTCACATTCACTCAGATGAGAACTCACCGTTGACCCATCCCCAGCAACCCCAGGGCTCGTGTAAGAGCAGGACTATGCAGAACGCAGGGGATCACTGCCCTCTAATCTCTTCTCATCTAAAAATCCTCAGGTGACCCACCAATCTGGCAAGGTTACAAGGCTGCTAAATAGTATCACTTGCCAAAGAGGAATAAAATCACTCCTGCTAAAGGGAATGGAGCAGCCCTCTGTAGAGGCTGTAGATTGCACAACAGTGCAATCAGCCGTGGTACCGCTCGGTGCTCTGCATCAGACTGAGGTGAGGTGGCGTGTGACAGGGCTCACAACACTAGGTGTTCAAGGGCATCACCCCCAGGCTGGCTGTTGATGCATCACTCCTGGCCCAGAAAAGCCACATAAAATTCCATGAAAAACATCCCTAGTGTTTAAAAACAAAAATAAAAACCCACAAGTATATCTTCAGAGAAATAAAAGTTGGAGGAAGTAATTATAGAATTAAAAGGTCCAGAGATTTGTTCAGTCACTTTGAGCCCCTCACTGAGTCAGTAAACAATTCTGCCTCTCAGCATATACTTCCATATATGAGAAATAAAAAGGGAAATGCTACCTTTTCCCAATTACTATGGCATCTGATCAGTCACAGATATCAACAACCAAATCCTTTCAATGAAATCTGTCTTTCTTCGCCTCAACCAAGTCACAAATAAGCAAGAGGTACCATTCCATTCTCTTTTAGAAGAGCCCTCACATAAAGTGTATGCATGTAAGCCCCAGAAATATATGAGATTAAACCATTCTATTGGGCTCACAGACAGGCACAGTCATGCTGGTGATGGTTAGCAGGAGGGAAGGGGGCATGGGGGAAGAAATAGTGGGAATTTTCCGTCTCTAGAGAGAAGTTATGTTACTGACATCTATAGTAAGTTTTTATAAGTCTGTGAGCGACCGCATGAGAAAAGACCCTTTTTGCAGTTTAGGGGAATCAAATTTTTGATATGAAACTGACAATTTTCAGAAGTTTCAAGGACAGAATTCTTTTAAAAATCATTCTTTTCTTTTATGATTTATTTTGAGAGAGGGGAGGGGCAGAGGGAAAGAGAGTCCCAAGCAGACCCCTGTTGAGCATGGAGCCTGATACGGGGCTCGATCCCAAGACCCAGAGACCACGACCCGAGCCTAAACCAAGAGTCGGATACTCAACCAACTGACCCACGCAGGCGCCCTCCAAAAATCACTCTTTAAAAAAAAAAAAGAGGGGAGAGAGGGAAAGAGAGATAACATATATTTGGGCAGCTTATTCACAGCATAAAGTCTCATTCAGTCTTATCCTATTTCTTTGAGGGAACTATATTCACCTTGCATTCTGTTGATTACCCTCTGGTTAGCCGGAAAGGGTATGCCTGGTTCCCTATATATATGGGATTTATTTTTTCCTAACATATATTTCTAACATAATGGCTTTATCAAGGAAAATCAACTCCCTTCAGCTGTATTTAAGTGCTTATTTACCAGTAAGGAAAGCGGTTACCCAATTGACACTTAAAAAAACAAAACAAAACATAATGATAAAGAGTTTTTCCTTCTGACCTACACGACAGGACATCTGTAGACAATTAGAAACACAAAGTCCAATTGTCCATTCACATTTTGAAGGGTGTATAGTGAAGGCCAAATTATTTTAATAGTACTCTGTTGTCCGTTATTTCCTGTCCTGCCAAAATAATGAGGGGAAAATGCCCAGGCAGATTTAGCATGAAATCGAGGTAAAGACTTTTTTCACTATTGTATAATCAATACTGTAGAAACTATGCAAAACTCGATTGTCTCCCAGTTACTGAACCTTGCTAAATTTTAAAGAGCCATGAATTTCATCACAAAAATAACCCCCCCCCCATGTCTTAATTAGCTGGGGAATGAGGAGGAGGAAAGAGAGGATAATAGTCTAAATGCTTTGGGTAAGATGTTTCAGTTTAGAACATGAAAAAGCAATATTCCTAGAATGGTCCAGTGCTCTAGCACATGTCTGTCCACGTTTAGCCTAAGGTATGGTTTTTTAAAATTCTGAGTTCATTTTAAAAAGATAACGGTTAGGAAAATAAATTTAATAGATAAATAACACCAATGCCTCATACTTCTGCATTTAGTGAGAATTTCCCAAGCTATGAATTCCAGATTCAGTGGCTTCTTTGAATAGTCAAATGAATCCCTTCTGAATTGTCTATTAGCCCCTAAGCTATATCTTAGAAAATAATGATTGCAAGCTTCAGTGAATCAAATTACCATATATTTACTGTTATAATATTGCAAATGTACAGGCAGGCCAAAAAGAAATAATCACAAACATGTCATAAATATTTACTAATTCTTTTTTATACAGAAATGAACCTAATTATTAAATATTAACATAAATACTCAAACTTAAGTTTTTATGGACCAGCCAGTCTAATTTAGTTAGTGAGATAAAAAACAAAATAGAAAATTTTAACTATGACTTAAAACATACTTTCTTCTCACTGGTTTAATCAACATGTTTTTAAGTAACCAAAGGAGAAACTTTAGAGTCATTTCATGCCAGTCCTTCCAGGCAATAAAGGAAGTCTCTAGAAGTGTTTAATGCACATTGGAGACTAATAGATTTTTGTTATTAAGTGTTAGTTGTTAATTTACCTTCAGGATGCAGAAATGACAAGGATTTAAAACATCAGGTTAATTCAGGGATTATTAAGCTAGATAATGTTCACTTTCAGAAAATAATATTTAAAAAAACAAAAACAAAGTGTTTTTTAAGGAGTAACCTCTAATGAAAACCAACACGTCTACTGCGTATTGGGTCAAGATGATCTTGGTTAGGGAAGATGTCCAGTGAGACCAGGCCACCCTGTGAAAATGCACACGGTATTCTCATGAGCTACCTTGCTCTGACTCTCGGGTTTTCAAAAACCTAATGTGCTTATACAATTGCTGAAGTCGTATTTTCATAACAAATGTAGCTCTTTATTTAATTGGAGGAAATGCGAACATTCTGACAGGAAATTCAAGATATTAATTCCCATCATGGGATCACGCTCTTTTTTTGGGAAATGTCTGTTGTATGATTCACTATGTAAC